AATGAGTATGGTGCAAAGTTCAAGTCTAAATATTTTACAAAATATCAGATATTGTCAGGCAACGCGCACAGTGTAACTCTGTGCGCGTGCAGGGCCTACAAGAACAAGTCACACGTTTATTATGTTTAACACGTTAGCAGGCTTTCGCGACCAAAATCATCCATAATAGAGTTTTTTTGAGGTTAGATCGCGTAAATATATAAATGTGTCGTGAAAACCCACCTTACTAGTTGGCTGTGTCGGGTGGTGGCGGGTTTTAACGACACGTTTATATATTTACGCGATCTAACCCCACAAAAACCCTCTATTTTGCATTGATTATTTTGATAAAAGTCAAAGGTTTAATTACCCAATATCTGATTGTTTATAATTAGCACAAAGAGAAACCAATTCGATAGCCTGCCTAATTTATGACACCCATTACTCAATTCAATTACACGTTCGAAAAAAGTATTTGAATCAAATCAATACGGCTGTTGGTCGTGCAGTCTGTTTAATTAGCTGCTCCGGATGGAAATAAATGTGGGGCCTTTGTCCACTGCATGTGACCTGTGGAGATCAAAGATTCCCCCCCTCATCCACCAATTAAAACAGCCTGGTTACACGCATGTGACTTCTAGTACATCTGCGTGTCCTTTGCAGTGCACACTACTGGAACTGCTCGTCTGTGAGTGGTCAATGCTCTTCTTCGTCTTCTTCTCAACATTGATGCTGGGCCTAAAGCGTCTCTTGGTTCTCCTTCATTAATCTTTCTACCTTGTTTGACACCATTAATCACGCGGTCCTTCCGAACTGTCTCTTCTTTGTTTTATTCCAAGGTTCCTTTCTTATTTCTCTGACTGCTCCTTCTTTATTTCTATCCAAGGCAAATCCCCTTCACCTACAACTTTTCCCTACGTTGTCCCCCAAAAGTTCTCTCCGAGGTTCCCTTCTCTTCTCTATCAACCATCTCCGCCCCCCATCCCCCCTTGGCAAACTCATCTCCTGCGTCAACATCCCTCATCACTTCTATGCTGATGACACACAGCTCTAGAGTTATTTTGACACCCTCTGATGCTGACACTTTTTCCCATCCAATCTGCTCATCTCTCTCTCCTGTCTCCTGCTAGACCTTCAACAACCTCCTCCAACTCACATATATTTATAAACAAAAACACGAGGTCTTGAGGGTTGGGAAGGAAATCTCTTTTCTTAATCCCACTCAAATGCATTCACTTTCTCAACTATAGTCGTTTTAACTGCATCACCAGTCTCCAACATCGGCTTCACAATTGACCCCCGAACTCTCTCCGACTCCTCACATTTTTCTCAAATTCACCTACTCAACATCTCCCGCATTTCAAAATGTCTAACACCTTCTGCTGCCGAGATGATTTGCCCGCCTTCATCACTTCGCGACTCGACCACTGTGACTCCCTCCTCTACGGTATCCCTAACGTCCTCCTCCACAAACGCCAGACGGTCCAAAATGTTGCTGCCCGCATTCTCACCCGCTCACGTAAACGTGCTCCGCATCAGCTCCATCCTCTATTCCCTTCACTGGGTCTCCTATAATATGGAAACTGTAGTCTTTAAAATCCTCTGAAGCCTTGGCACCCCCTATCTTCCCTAATATCCCTCCATACCTCCTCCCGACAGCTGCAGTCCTCTGACAAATGGCTCCTATTCAAACCCAAATGCAATCTATTATCCCTTGGTTGTAGGCTCCATTTCCCCGTTCGGCACCCTCGGACCAGGAACTCCCTTCCCCTCTTCTCTTTGGTAGCCATCAAACTGACAGCCTCCCGGGGTTCAAATCTCATCCCGAAGAACCCCCCTCCCCTCACTGGTCTTCAAAGGCAGCGGCCACTGCCCGCTGTCGCCCCGCGTCCCGTGGTCGAGACCGCTGGGAACCTCGCGGTCCCCAAAATATATTTTTCCACCTTCGTCTCCCCCCTGGCCCTCTTTCCTCCGCCAACTCTCTCCACCTTCCCTTTATCGTTCCCTCCCCCCACTGCCCTCCCCCACCTCCAATTGACCGTCCCTAGGCCAGAGGGACCCTCCTCCTTCCTTCCTACGGCCCCCCCCCCTCTCCCTAACCCTTTCCTCTCCCCTTACCTTTCCCCATAATTCCCCCCACCACCCTTTGCACTGCCCTTACTCCTCTACCACGCCTCCCCTCCACATCCCATTTATCGCAGCAGTTTGGGTTTAATTTAGTTTATCTCTTGTGTAATTGTAAGCTATTTTAAGTCATTCGAAATTTTGTATAGATTTTTTTTTTATCAGTTACTTTCCTATCACGTGTGAAGCGCACCGAGACGCCCGGCTGCTGTGAAGGGCGCCTTCTGTCAAAAACAGATGATTTATTTATTTATTGTTAACCAATAATTATTACGGCACGATGCTCAGTGGGGCACTGGCAAGTGGTCATCTGCACAAATGCACGTGCGTCAAGCGAGACGAAGCAGACGGTGTGACCGGACGAACTTGTACAGCAGAAAAGCACTGGATTTTCTCAAGGTGATAGAGAGGTGCTCCCAACGCTTTCACATCAATAATACCACACTAATCAGGAAATATGAGACGAGTACGAATAGGACCACAGAGCTTTTTGGAAATCGTTGGCAGCGGCTCACCGCGTGGCTGCTTTCCAGCTCGTCTTTTGGTTCCTCGCGCCTCCGAGTGTCAGTCTCTCTCGCAGAGAGTGAGCAAATGCTGTGCGTGTTACAAACTGAAATTATATACGATTATTATTATTGCACAGTACATGTGTGTGTGTGAGTATATATAATATAGTTTATATACACTGCATTTAAAACAACTTGCCTCTTTTTCATTAAGACCTTTATTCATTTTTATTTCCTACGCCCATGGAAAGCCAATGCTAATTCACACCATGACATTAATGGGCGATGCATGCAAAGGTTCAGCCCCACGTGTGCTGGTGTTCTGGCACGGAGGCAGCATACAAATCCGAGCTCTTAGCTGCGTGCACAGGCATCTGGCCCGAGCTGGAGTCAGGAAATAGAAACCCACCCACACTACGCAGGAGGAGGAGGGAGATGTGGCGCAGTGTAACGTAGAACAGAGCAATGCACCCCCAGGGAATGCACCGTGCGAGTCCTCACATCTGCGATGCCGAGTGTTTATTATTTGCCCGACTACAAGAGCCACTCCGTTGCACAAATTCCCCCAGTGTGGTAAGAGGGGGGGGGGGAGTTTTGTGCGGGGGGGAGGTGAGAGGCCACGAAACACAAGGCCAGGATCAGCGACTTGAGAACTGGATTCTGGGCTTCAAGGCTCGGTTTGCAAATCAAAACAGGTGTATTATTGACGCTGCCAGGAGATTCGGAGCAGCCTAATGAATGGCCCAAATCGAATTTGCAGCTGGTGAAACCTTCCCGAGGCACGGAAAGACTTTATGAACAGTTGAGCACAGTACAGCGGCATAGTGCTTTGGAAAATAAAACAACACGGAGCATTTGTATCTTGATCTCCAGGGCACGAGAACAACATTTAAAATAAAATATCTATTTTCATCTACCCTTTTACGACAGAATATTAGAAGTCACCAGACCTTGCAAAACTTCATGCTGCCTCTGTTGTATTGTACAACATAGATACACTTTAGATTGTAATTTATACACCAACAGCAATACAAATTGCTATTGCTTCAGTTGTAACACACGGTACAATTACGTATGCAGCCACTCCTTGACAACAAAGCTATTTATTTCTCAGAAGGAAAGGTCACAAAATTAGATATTGATTAATATCTCTTTCAAGCACATTTAGCCGTCCACCAGACCGTGCAACGTAGCCATGTAGATTAGTCTGCTTTTATATCTGTTCTCACACAATGTTGCCAAATTAAGGAAGGGTATAATACTTTCAAATTCATATTTGATTTGCGCAGCCTTTCTGTGACCGTCCCGGCCTCGATAAACTCAATACACGTACAGCATTTTGCTCCAAATGGCAGTGGAAATTGAATCACAGGTGTACGTGATCCTGGCTCCAAATCCATATGTGGCCATTAATGCAGTGAGCTCCCCAGGCCACCCTCATACACTTGACATTTCCAAGTGACCAACGTCTTGCATGGCTGACTCAATTCGCATGCATTTATTCCACGAAACATTCAAAACTCCTAACCCAATGCACTTTGGGAAACGTAAAATAAAGCGACTTTGGAACCACTGGAACATTATTAATTTCGCGAAACTGCCCAGGAGCATTTCCAGCCACACGGTTGGCCGTTAATGTAACGCAATTTCCACGTGTGGAATAGAAACCTCAAGAGTCCATTCTGCGTGGAGGATCGGCACCGAATGAAACGCAAATAGGTTTATTCTTTGTGAAAGCTTACACGGAAGTACATCACTCACTCAGAAGCCAAAACTGAATTGGGACTAGGACGTGTCAAGCTTAATGTTACCATGGGGCCCATAACAACTGCTGTCGGTTGCTGCGTGGTTAAATAAAGAGAACGTGTGCGGACTAATGCAATGTGAATGCTGGGGTAAACTTCTTCCCGAAAGTCACCCAAAGAGTGAACTTTGAGTAAGCGGTTATATTTATTTCTTTATTTTACAATCAAAAAGATGAAACCTAAGGAATAAAAACTAAGCAAGAAGGAGCCTGACAAGGGCTGTGCAAGCGAGGGCGACTCATCTTCTTGGTTCTTTCGGTAAAGTCACGTAGAAGGGAAATAATAAAATAATAAAAATAAAACATAAAATAATTCTCACGACGTTTCGGCCACAACGCAAGCAGCCGTCCTCAGGTGAAGAACAGGTCAGTCGGAAAGTCTCATTCAGACTCATTCAGACGCTGTCTTTCCGACAGACCTGTTTTTCACCTGAGGGCGGCTGCTTGCGTTGTGGCCGAAACGTCGTGAGAATTATATTTTATTATGTTTTATTTTTATTATTTCCCTTCTACGTGACTTTACCGAAAGAACCAAGAAGACGAATCCCTGCAGTCGCGAAAGCTTTAAATCGAGGGCGACTCGTTACCTTGAGGCCGTCGAAGACGAAGGCCTGGTCATCGGAGCCCAGGGCGACGTCGGGCCGGCACCCGGGCCGGGCCCAGCCCACTCGCATGTCCCCGGCCGTCACCAGCTCAAACTCGAAGTACCACTTGCCCGTGCGCACCGCGTAGAAGCGCTCCGTGCGGAACTGCCGCTTGTGGACGCCGTGGACGTCAACCCGGGTAGCTGGCGGGCAGTCACACCGCCCGAGGGTCAAAGGGCAAGAGGGTAGGGGGGTTGGGTGAGGCGGTGGGGGGGGTATGAGTGAAATTCGTTGGGGCACGTGAAAATTAACAAGGTAAGATAAATCATGCAGTTGCATAGATTACGGAACACTTTCCAACACAATTTGTTTTAAAATATATATCGAGGTGACATTCCACTGACATTCAACAACATCTTTTTCTTATAAAAGAAAAACTAAACATTATTTGGCTCCAAAATGTGCATGAAGATCTGTACATAGGCAGATTTAAGGATTGAGCAAGTCACTTTAAAAAGTAAATGGCTAAATATAATTGTCTCCCTGCTCAAACAAGCAAAGGGACAAACAAACATCACTAATTTTGATTTAAAGCTTTCGTGACTGCAGGGATTCATATTCTTGGTTATTTCGGTAAAGTCACGTAGAAGGGAAATAATAAAATAATATAAAACAATAAAACTCTCAGAAAATTCAAATTTTCTTGCTATGGATTTCCCACCTGATGATGATTGCTTGTGTTGCTGTCGAAACGTCGTGAGAATGTTATTGTTTAATATTTTTATTATTTTTTTATTTCTCTTCTACGTGACTTTACCGAAAGAACCAAGAATATAAACACCACTAATATTCACCTATGGTCCTGAACCAGTGGCGGAAATTCCAGCTTCCAAGGAAAGTGTCAGTGTCCTCCGCAGAGCATTCACGGTGGTTGTGAATGCAATCACACACCCCAGGGTATAATTTACATGTATTCTGTCGTCGTGGAGATTGAAAAAGAATTTCCCTCCATATCCACCCAAAAGAACAGGTTTGTCACAGGCAGCCATTTTAAACAACCATATCGCACTGTGGTGCATGTACAATAATATTCATTTTAAACTATCATTGTTTTTTTAGCAGTTAAGGCCCACTGAGCTATATAGATCTTTTTCATAACAGACCTGGCCACAAATGCTAGCTCAACGAAGTGGCTTATAGTGTGGAAATTTGTATCAGCCAAATGCTCTAAATAGATGTTTCTAAACGTGGGGGGAAAAACTGGAGGATTAAGAGAAAAATCCACGCATCCATGAGGAGAACATGCAAACTCCAAAAATTCAGGCGGTAGTGTCGGGATCGAACCCACAGCCTCCTGCATACCAGGCGAGGAAGTTAATATCTTGCCACCGTGGCGCTCATTAGCACAGTGTGGCTATGAGCCAGGCATTGTGGCACACTCCTGTAACCCAATACTTTTGAGACAAGGGTTTGAAGACCCACATATATTTGCGAAACTCTAAAACTCCCTGGACTGCAAGATGGCCAGGAGTTGGTTGCACAAAAACTGGCTTTCGGATTCTGTCTGTGTGGAGTGTCATGCCATCATGTGTGTGGGTTTTCTCCTGGTACTCCGTTTTCCTCCCAGAAGCAAAACACTCACTCATGGCCTTGATCAAATATCCCAAAGTAACAGGAACCCCCCCTGAAAAATGTTTTAAAGACTCGGTGAGGCCTTTTGTGATAAACAAAGGACATTTCTTCAAATGAGATAATAATTTACGTGTAACAAATGAACTTGCATTAAGTACAACCTTTACACATAATGAAAAACACACGAGGCTAGGAATGGGAGCAGCGGGGACAACAACAACAACACATTGCGAGCTAGCAATTCGTTGAACAAAATTGACTGAAATTTCAACACGTCCCTATGTTCAAATGAGCCTTGAGCTGTGCTTACCTCGATTAGCGGTCACAAGCCACGAGTAAAAATTCCACATTACCATGGTGGGAAGGGGGGGGGGGGGCAAGTCGTGCCACATTACAACCGGAATCACTAAATCACGTGACCCAAGGAATGTATACAATTCAGGTTCCTTAAATAGTTTTTATTTGAACCAATCTCTACTTTGTGCTTTACAGGAAGCAAACCAGTTTCCAGCGTGGAACTTTCAGCACTGTAATCGCTCTCTCCGGTTTACATCAGAAAGGAAACCTTTCACTCGAAAGGGTCGCCTTTCAGAGAGAAAATTACAAATCTGACAGCGGTGCCGTACAATAAGATTTGCCCGACGTCATTCCGGTTATATCACTGCCATTTATTCCAAGCTGGCAGTGAGCGCAGACAGCTGTTACATCATTGCACAACTGTATGGTATTGAGGGCATTTGAATGAGGCAAAGGCACACAGAAAGGCCGAGCAAGAGGGCAGCTATTTGACCACAGACGTCAATGTCAGTCGGCTCAAACGAATATGGGCCTGCACACATATTTACTGGCAGCCCCGCGCAAGGCGTGGGAATTTCCGCATCCCCACGGCGGAGTCAACTGTCCCCAGAGGACGACCCATTTATTATTTGCTGCTAGAAACGATGAGAACCTTGAGCCGACAACCAACTGGGACCGCCAAGTGCAACGTTGCAAATGTCACCAACATCCTGACTGAAGCCACCGGCATTACCAAAACGCGTAAAAGTGAAACAAATTAATTGTTTATTTTTATTCTGTGCTTCCAGAATGAATGCTTTTTCACGGAAGGCACTTTTTGTGCTGTTTACAACTGAAAGTTTTTTTTTTTCAAACGCACTATGTGTGCAAGACAGGTGGTTGGATTGTACACGCATAAATACATTATAACGGTGGCATTAAAGCTTAAAGCGCTTTCAATACACACAGCATGATCACTCACACACATAAACCTGGTCAGATAAACACTGTTTGTAAACAAGTAGCAATTTGCACAAAGGGCCTGCTCTTCAGGGTGCAGATTACAAAGCTCAACGTTTTGCCTGTGACCTTTAGCAAATGTTGATGTTAGTCTGTGGCTCTATAACTAGAAGGTTACGTTAGGAGTGGGTAATGAAGAGGTCACAACATTGAACACTAAAAACATTTTCAAGGCTATACAATCGGGTGACGATGTGATACAGTGCTGAACTCACCATTGGAAGTTTGCACATTTGAATGATTTTTTATGATGATATTTGTTTACCCAGGAAAGTCTCACTGTTTCACGACTCTTTTGTCACATTTTCACAGGAGGGGGGCGATATTGCTGCGATGTGTAATCCCAATTGAGTAATTTGCAGGAATTAATTTAGTACTGTTTTGGAATGTTTGGCCAATGCCAGTTACATCACGGGGGTTTTAGCGATGCGAGGAATCCGGAAAATGTGGAGGAAAACCACGCAGGACAGGTGGAGAACATACAAACTCGACAGACGAAGGCACCCGAGTCGGGAATCGATCCCGGACCCGGCTTGTTGTCAGGCTCAAGCGTTACCACTACGCCACCCTGCCACAGAGGTCGCAAACGGGTTTTGATTCCTTACCCGTACCCTACCGCACCAGGGTCGCAAACGGGTAACCGAACCCTACCCGTACCCGGCCGGGTACGAGTAGCCGGGTATTGGGTAGGGCACGGGTATCGGGTACCCGATCGCGACCTCTGGGATGAAGCCATGTTGCAGGCGCGGGTGGGTTGATTCTAGGAACTTGAATTGTGAGAAGAGACAAGACGTTGGGAAATGAGTGACACCAGTGACTCACGGCCTACCCGTACCCGTACCCGGCCGCACAAGGGTCGCAAACGGGTACCCGTACCCGGCGTAGCCGGGTATCGGGTAGGGTACGGGTATCGGGTACCCGATTGCGACCTCTGCCCTGCCACCCATCCTGCTCGACTCACTCGATGACCTCCCCAGACTCGACAACACAAGCACGGCATTGTGAAACATCAACGACAGTTGTCACAGTCAGATTTGAACGACACCCATGAGGAATGTCCAACATTGGCTCAGAGCCACCAAACAGAGATGAGTGTCACCCCATGCTCGTTTTAAGTAGGGAGATAATTTTACTTCACTATATCTACATACATCAGGAACAATACGAGGTTGAAGAATGGTATACTAAAAATATGTACCCCGACAATTATGTTTTTAATGGTATCCCTTGACGTTTAGTAACTTACACCAAAACTAAAGCCGAATAGAGTATAATTATCATTTGATATTGTTATTATTGTGTTTATTTAAGGCAAAAAAACTAAAATAATGACAGTGTTTTAAATAGTTTCACCACCCCAATACATTTTTTAACAGAGTAATAAGTCATAATTTGTCAGCAAATAGATTAAACGATCGTTTGAAATAGAATTTTTGCACTGTGGGTAACAGCATTTCAAATTGTACCATCAATGTTACGTGAAACGGAATTGGTCTGGATCGCGTTTTATTGCACGAAATTTTGTCTAAACTTCAGAAGGAAGGAGACAAAGGTGGGTGGTGTGTGGCGCTGACCCCACCACGCACCCAGTGCGGCACAATGGCCTTCACAGGCACTCGTTAACAACGCTCATTAGAATACTTTAGTCATGCGAAATATGTGTATCATTGAGTGAGTGATAGTAGGGAGCGGTAGTGTCGCAGTTAAGAGCGCTGCACTACGAACCCGGCCACCCGAGTTCGATTCTCGCTCACGGCCAACACCAGTGACGATTATCTGAATCGGTCCTGGGCCTGCTCTAGGATGACTCGGTCTCAAATACGTACCTGGTGCGGTGTGTAAAAATATTCTCACTGGGGAGACAAAGGCAAAAGGCAGTTGGGTGTGGTGCTCGCTAACTGCACTTGCCTCAACAGTCTGGTAAGGCTATACGGGGGACCTTTGTCTTTGATAGGCAAAGCTCGTGAATCCAATGAAGGAAGAGAATGAGTGAAACAAAAAGAAAGATTATAGGGACCGAGCAATAATATTTGTTCACACTACATAAACATAAATACAGACACGTAGCCAGACAGGACAGAAAGACAAACTTAAAACTGACCAAATAACAAAACACAAAAAAATGTAGACTGCTGTCCTAAGACACAGGCATAATTGGATGCTTGTTATCGCAATTATCAAATTCGTTGACGATAATCCTGATAAAATACGCACAAGGCCAAAGCAGTCATATTGAGGAATGAGCTGCCTATCAAAGAGAGGGCTGCTCCTTGGGGTATTTAAAACAAACTGGCTGGTCTGCAATGGCCACGTGTTGTTCTTCACATTGGTTAAGGGAGTCTATTGGGTTACTTATTGCTATGCCTGAGAAATATCGTGTCCCTCTGCCCATCTGAGGGCACTTCACATATTTTCACAAAAAAGTACTAAATCCTCCCATGCAGCAACTGCTATGAGACTGAGCACGTAGCTTACCAAATGCTCAATTCTGCATGGAGTTTGGACAAGATCGACAATGACATACCCTCTAAAAAGTGTATTATATATATTTTAAAAAATCTATATACGAGTGCAAAGAGTGTGTGTACCTGATATAAGGTATCCATTGACATAAACGGCCATGCTCAAGAAGTGTACCAGTACGTGCATTTGCATAGGCAAATCTCACAACATATTTCCAGCTTGTTCTTCCTTGCTGTACAGCAGGAAAATACACTTCTGAACACAGAGATGGCATGGCTCATAATGTTATTGTCTATGTGTACAGCAATCAAATCTGTAATTAAAGACAAAACCCCTCATAACAAAACAATAACATTCTTGATAATGGTCGACATTGTTGTGTTTGTCTCATTATTTCCTGTCAGTCAGTCGTGACATTTGCTCAAGTTAATTTAATGGTGACCGAAGATAACAGGGTCAACAGTGCAGTTCTTCAGAAATTGTTGATGATTTTTTGCATTAGGCTGAGTGCTTTTTGTACACGTTTGCACGTTCTTTGAAACATATAGTTACAGCTGCATAAACAGCCTGGACCAGGCCCAAAATAAGTCGACCTGCAGAGAAATGTAGAGCATGTGTCACAGCAACACCATTTGATAAACAGAGACAGAGGAATGATGAAGAGGAGAGAGGTGAGAGACGGCTGCAAGGGATGGGCTAAAAAGGGGGAGGGTAAGAGAGAGAGTCTCTGGATCAAATTCAAACTGTATATCCCTCGTAAACATGGAACGTTGGGTCAATGTTCGTCTCACGATTCCAACCGCATTCCAACGTCGCCCCAACGTTACATGTTTACTGGTCAGCACCATTGGATAGCAGTACCAAATGGGCGGGCAGCTCAAGCTTACATGAGTGTTTACGTGGGATCAGCATTAAACTTTGCTGTTACAGGAGAATAAAATAACCTCGGAATGCCGACGGCCAATGCCCGTCACAAAGTTGAAGAGCAACACGTATTTTAAAGCTTAAAAATGCGTTGGTTTTTTTACAAGCATAACCTTTAACTATGAATTACATTAAACTAAATTATTTTAGTTTTGCCCTTGATGTATTTTTTTTCTTCTATTTTGCAACTTGAATATTATTCTCGGAATGAAATCGGAGCCTTAAACACGTATGCAGCGCTTGACAACGTACAGATTTATTGGCTCAGAGTGCTCGATTAAAAATAGCCAACAGCAAAAGTCCCGTTAAAGGAGCAACGGGTGCAGTCTTCTAATGTGCAGTGGCCCCATTTAAAAAGTAAGCCTGACAAATAGAAATGTCTCAGATATGTGTGCATTTCAAACAAGTGCACTGCCTTGCTAACGAGACCATAAACGCACCTGACAATAAGGCAGACTCGAGATACAACGTGTGCATATGTACATTCTCCACCGAGCACTATGAATGGGTATGTAAGGGTGTCAGGGGAAGGACTCCCACCAATAGGAGGGTTAGTGGGAGGGGTAATCGAGGAGATAGAAGGGGAGAACGGGCGGGAAGAAGGGGCCTTTGGCGGGAACGAGATTGGGACGGCTGGGGACAGGTGTGGATGGGAGAAAATGATTAAAAGACGAACCCCTGCAATCTTGTGTCGGCTCTCCTTTACAGGTACACCACAAGCCAGTCGATCAGAAGCCACGTGCACAGTGGGGTAAATGGGGGATACTCCCACCTCCTGCAGGGTGTAAGAAGAGTCTAAAATATTCCCGTTTGGGGCGCTCCCTGCAGTGGAGGTGCTTCCGCCAGCAGTGGCATGAGCAAAAACAATGAATACAGCCTCATCTCTCCCACCAACATAGTGCTAATCTCCCATTAACACTGCTGCTGTGCGCATATGCGGGGACGATACTCTTATGCGGTGACGGAAGCTCATTCATGCTAATCTCCCTCCTTAATCTCTCTCTCCCTAATCTCCCCCATCAATACAACTGACGTGCTTGCGTCCGGGGATGGAATTCCTTTCCAGCTCAGACCCCGCCTGCTTGCCCTTCGCCACGTAAATAACCTCTTGTTGTAACAGCTCTCTCGCTGGTTCAGCAGTTTCACTGCTGGATAATTTTTTTCCGCCTGAGGACGACCGCTTGTGTTGTGATCGAAACGTCGTGATTTATTATTTTGTAATTTATTTTCTTTTTCTACCTACGTGACTTTACCGAAAGAACCAAAGAGCAATGAATACAGAGTTGCACCTTTGCATTTTTGTACGTGCGTGTGTGCATGTCTGTTTCATTTGTGAGGAGCGAGAGCGTCAGCGACTTCAGTGCGATTCCCTGTCATTTGCTAAAAACAGTGCCCATTTAAATCTGAACTGACACAGGGGCCTACCTTGGGCCGACTCAGAATTAATTGAGTATCTGGTGCACTGTGTGAACATAAGCACCGGTGAGATGAGAAATGGCCGGGTGTCGTGCTGGCCACGCCACCTTCTCTTGTGCCAGTGCAGGCTTTCATATACGTGCCCGATGACAGCATTTGCCATTTGCCGCCCCGGTTATATGTTAAAGGCTACACGGGAGATCTTTGGTGCACGTCTGTATTGCGTCTGTGTGCCTGGGGCATAGTGGTGGTATAGCGGTTTGTGCACTGTGCTACACAGCACGAGTAAAATCACCGTTGACTTTGCAAAGCAATGATCACTGAATGCAAATATAATGTGATGCCATAAATAGCTTAGCATTGACCTCAAGAGTCGTATTAAGTGGTTGCTAATTTCTATAACACTACTTAAGTCTTATGAATACAACCTTAAACATCGAGGCACTGTGGTTGTGCATACTGTATTTGCGTGATTTGAATTTTTTGTGAAATCAATGGCTCCCACTCACAGCATGGGCTGAACGGTTGAAAATCGTACCGTAATTGAATAACCTGTTATTGAGCCCAGTTTAACCTTTTTGTAATTGCGTTTTATGGAAATTAAGAAAGAAACTATTTAATCACCGAGCAAGCTTTAAAAAATGATTACGTGTTGTGGCTCGGAGTCACAACCCGAGGCAATTTTGCACGACCATCGAAATGTGTGCCAAAGTCAGGGGCGCGTTGTGTCGCGTGGGGGAAGTAAGGCGATGTTACGCCGCTAGTTCTGAGAAGGGAAACAGAGACATTTATTCGCGAGCTATTGGGATGCACACAAAAGCCATGCATTTGTGGGGATGACAATGCGGAGAATGCATGTGCAGTGAATGCAATTGCTCTTTCCCGCTCAGTTGCCACAGCGTGATTGGAAATGGGCTCCAGTGTAAGGAATCAAATGGGGTCCCCCCCCCTGTCTAATTTCCCCTGCCTGAGCCCGTGCCACAGGCGGGCTCCTGGACAGTTGCACTGCCTACACAACACACTCTGACTAAGCCAATGCTCCAGCTGCTAGAATATTCAGTATGAAAAGAACACGCGTAAACAATTACCTAAAACCTGAGCGTACCCAAATCAAGAACAAGTTACCGCAATGGAAATTAATCACAAGGTTTGACAATAATAGAGTAGAATTAGAATTGCAGAGGTAGACTCAGTCAATGTTAATAATTTTAGCATTGAAATTTATTTATTCGGTTTTGCAGATCTATACTGACACCTTTAAGACCTGTCGGGTTATGAGTTAATATTTGAGTGCAATAAAGCCACGTTGTGACTTATGGTTCAACATTAATCCTCAAATCTCAGAGTCCTATTAAGGCCTCCGTATGAATCCTAACTATGTATCATACATCTCCACAAACAAAAAAAAACAACCGACTTCCTCGCTCGTTCATTCTGAATTTGTCATCCACGATGCAGAAGAAGAAAGTTTGTTTTTAACCTGCCTTGTACTTTCCACCACAGCGGTTGACGTGCGCTGTTCACACCAGCCGGACGCAGTTGTCATGAGTCAGAGTTTGAACTCGAGAACCGCCTCCGCGTGGCTGCACCCACTCACCTGGGTCTTGGTCTGGTGCCTCGATGTGGTACCCGTAGCCCAGCAGCGTGCGCACAGCCTCGCGCAGGCTGTCCCGATTCGACTTCTTGGTCCTCTCGTCCAGAAGGGCGTACGGCACGAGCCGCGGGTTCCGTCGGTTTTTGATGTCCTGGCCGATCACGGAGGAGTGAGTTGGAAAGATAATTCGATGAACTCATAGCGCTGTATGAAGCTGCAAAGGCCTGAATTTAAATTAATATAAACTCTATCATATATATATATCAATATATAAAACCAGTACTTAAAATGTTAAGATAAAACTGTCCCCGAAGTTAAACCAACATAGGGAAAGGCTAATCGTTTCTGGTGGCCCCGAGGCTAGAGTAGAAATTCTACATTACAATGGCAGAAGCCAAAATCTCCACAAGAAAACTAACGCTCCCAGTGGAACTTATTTTATAGAGCCCAAGGGAATGATGAGGTGAGATGACGGAATTTGAAATCGCAACATTCTGATCGCGAGTCAAACGCTCTCCTGCAGCATCATCCGGCAGAACAATGTGAGTTAAGTCACAGGGACTCATGTTAAGGAGGCTTTTGCTTGAAGACTTTATCCAATTCCTAACTCAGTACTTGTGTTTCAGGACACCACAGTGCCCAAAGAAAACCCACGCATATGACAGAATAACACTCGCACTTTGCACAGGCAAGTCAAAAGGCGTTTTTCCACACCACCCCCATTGCCCTCTATCTCACACCCATCATGGCTTGGTCCCGGTGGAGGTCACCAATCCGGCACCACCCTCCAAGTCGCTTGACCAACTGGAGCTCACCACCACCACCACCCCTGAACGCTTATCCGCATTATATTTCCGTATTGTTAAACTGCACGTTAATTCTCCTACATTAAGGCGCGCACGTGTTTACTCTGAACAGAGGCAAATTCAATTAGGCGTGAAAAAAAAGCGATGGTCTGGTGGCAGGCGAACCTGGACGACTCACAGGACAAAGACACAGATCCCCCACATAGCCTAAACAGACTGTTGTGGAAAGTGCTGTTAGCGAGCACCTATGAAGGCCGGCACAGCACACAAGGAGGTGGGTGGCCAGCACCACGCCAGGCCACGTTTGTCTCAGGTACTCATTTTTAAGGCTGCGTCGACTTTGGGAAGGCCCATTACCGGTTCAGATCCTCGTCACTGGTGTCGGCCGTGAGCGGGGGAATAGAAATCGGGTCGCCAGCTTCGTACCGCAAAGCACTAACCACGACACTATCATGCTCCCCACGAGACAGGGCGCAGTGCCACCGCACCTGCTGGATGCCGTAGGTCCAGCCCTGCCGAATGCGGTCTCGCGCCCACACATTGTGCGCGTTCTCCGCCAGGCGGTCCACGAGGGCCTCCTGGGTCGGGTTCAGCTTGGTGTTGGTGAGGTCCAGAGGAGACGGCTTGTAGTTGCTGGACATCAGGTAGCTGGGTCACACACACAGACGGACACGTGGCGAGCTGAGTTATGTTGAGTCTCCAGTGGGGGAAGTGTGGGAGCTGGGTCTCAATAGAGGTCTAGCAAGGCACGCATGGAGCCAACACCAAAACTGGGGCACGGTGATATCCTGAAGGCTTCAGTGATTGCTTGAAAATGATTTTTTTTCTTCCAATTCCATCTGGACATGTGACACTGTGGCTATAGGATGCGAGGGACCTTTTGGAAGGTCGCAAATTCAAATGACCACCGGCTGTCGAATGAGCCTGTCGTCCTTCAGGGGTTGATCAAATGAATAATGCTTTGTGGAAAGTCAAGATTGGTTGTTCAATGGAGAGCATGGTCCATGGCAATGCGAACGGAATTTACTTTACGAGAGAAAGGCAAAATGTTAAGTCACAAAACGGCTTAAGAGTGACATCAAAAGTCCTCTCCAGACTTCTTTTAATAGACTACGTTCGTCAAATACAGGATTGCATAACCTCCAGGAGCACAAAAAAGGGAATGGTCCGAACTGCTATTTGTGCCGGTGCCCTGCTGGATGAAGGCCTCCCCACGCTATGTTGGTCCTGGGGTTTGTTCGCCAAAACGTCACCACACTGGTTGGAGCGGCCAGAACTCAGGCTGCCGGGTTCCGAGTGCAGTGCACTTAACCACTGTGCCACTACTCTACCCCCAGAAGAGATTACAGAATGTCATTTCATACCCTGCATGTCGTGTAAAATTATCAATGGCAAAGCACAGTTTAACCTTAGGTAGAAACCCACGTTTAAAAGCACGAACCTCAAATGTTGCTAGCCCAGTGCAGCGACATTGGCACAATATGCGACCAATGAATTACCACTCCTGCCCCCAAACACATGGATGTTTTCAACATGGATAAGCTCCTGATAAGGATGAGAGCCATTACGGAGCTCCATTACACTCAGCTATTGCCGGCATCCAGTGACATGCTGTTTTCTCATCACAGGGTCACAAGCAAGAATGTTATAATCAAGATGTCTTCAGCCACAGAAGCCTCTTTAAGCCCAGCTGGCTGGCTTTTCTTGACTCAGCAGGAGTCAACGTATTAACACCCAAATATAGAGCCTTTAATGTGCACTCGATTTGTAATGTTAAGTAACACACTTTTTTGGCACGCGTGAAATGCCAAAAGTGTCTCCATGCTCAAATTAACATGCGGCAGTTCTCATATTTCTTCGTGGAACCGTAGCCAGGCGTTGGATATTATACATTCCTACGGCAGGAGCCGGTATCTTCATAGCACAACCGCTGCTGAGTTTACACTAAAGTTGTATTCACTATATCGACACGGAGAGATTATTGGAAACCGTTGTTTCTTTTTTAATTAATATGTTTCACCTAAAAAAATCCTTTGACATGGATAATCTCATTTGTAATGGTGTCCGGTTTTTGCCTGCACATATGGAAACATGGCGTTTATGTTATTTCGATTATTTGGCTGCTATTAATTTCCACATGATAAGCCACTTCGTTGAGCTATCATTTGTGGCCAGATAACGTCTGAAAAAGAATCTAATAACTCAGTAGGCCTCAACTGGTAAAACATGAATAGTTTAGTTTTATTTGTATTTTTTTTAGCTTGGCTTACCTTTCCTATACTATGCACTCCTATTTTGTTTTTGTATTGTTTGGTGTTGTAACATCCTGACCTGCCCCTCCTGGAGATCTGTGAAAAAGAGCTTTATAACTCATCGGATTCCACCAATACAAGTAAACATTAAGATTTTTTAAAAACAACAACTTTTAAACGATAGACTAAATCAACCTGTGAACCTACTAGATCGGTGGCAAATTTTCTTGTTTGACTTTAACCCTTTCAATCAATCGCATCATTTAAGTTTGTTGTGACAATTTGAGATCACGGACGGCGGCCTTTTTTACTTCCTGGGGAGCTTGAAACGTTTCAGGGTTGCTTCGGCTTGCTCGTCTGCAATTCCCACGTGGCATCCTAGGGCGAGGAGTGTCCTGCGGAGGGAGCAGCACACAGACGACGCAGAGTGCAGGGGAGCTGAGTGCACACAGCAACACGAGGCCATGGAGATCGACGATAGATGGACCCAGGAGGAGGTCACATTTCGTACGTGTGTTTTCATTTTGAATTCAAAGCGTTGCGGTGGGATAGTTCTGCACTTCAGGCAACGCCACTGTCCATAATTCAAAATCATCCTAATAATGCATATGCGGCTGGTGTTCCAAAGGAAATTATCCGTGGCTTATAGAAATTATGGTATATCTATACGAGTTAATTGTTTGACATGTACATGATTACAAATTCACAATCAGCAGCCCAGCATAGATGATCAAGTCAATTAAATCGAGTACATTCGAATACATTGTATTTCATGACCATTTCTCCTTTATCAAGAAAGATGGACCAATTAACTCAATCTGAGTTAGAGTCAATAACAAATACACTTTCTGGCTTGAACCAATGTTTACCCAGATCTTTCAAGTATCTGAAATGTATGTCCGAAATCATGGAACTGCCCGTGTACCTGGGTGTGCATACAGGAAATTGCTTTTGATTGGCGAAAACAAGTACAGCACTTATTTAATTCACTCTTGTTGGTTGTCTTTCTTTGACATTTCCTAATCCAGGAAGTCTAAAGTGTGTTAATGGAAGTGTTTTGTGACTTTGGTTTGCACCATTCCAATAGCAAAGGCAGCTTCGTTCTATCATTATTAGCATACTGCAAAGAGACAATTTGTATCTATGTAAAGAAACCCATCAAGATTCACTTCACTCAGAGAGCTGGTATTTCAAATCGCTGTTTAAGCTGGACAGATATATGGAGTTAAATTGCATAGTCTGTCACGGCGTAAAGAACACTGACCTATATTGTTGGATAATGCAAACGATACATTTAAAGAATAAACAAAAAATCCTGCTAAACTTAGTACGCTAATATCAAGTCAAGTCTAAATGGTTCTCTGCTCAGACAAGCAATGGGGTGGCAGCCCTGAGCCACTTATGGAAATCCCACATTCCCATGACGCGATCCAGTACATCCAAATTACCATCGCTGTTGACTTCCCACTAAGTGCTACACATTTTATCGACTTGGTTTTGAACCATTGACCATCTGACCGTGAATCGAGAATTTAAACATCGCACCACTCTGCTGGTGACAATATTATTAATTGGGGGAAAATAAAAAAACATCTTTCAAATCATCGAGACAACATTAACGGCATAATTATAATTCCCATTGCAGCAGGTCACTATCACACGGAAGCTGATGGGAATGAGCCGGTGCAGATACGTGGGTCTTGAACCTTAATCTAGAAAAATCCAAACCACTCAGCCACCACATGGCAGACACCAGCATGCGTTTATTTGTGAGCATTTAAACCAATGAAGTGTCTGACTGTCAGAGACACACATTGCTTTCACAGCCATATATAATGTTGACCGATAAAGCTTCTACGTAAATTGAATGTCTGAACAGCTTTTCTGTTTGCCCCGTTAATGATAATCTTTCATAAGCCATTAAAACAACAACAACAACAACGTTAACACTTTTATATTTGTGACAATAATAACCACTGGAGTGAAGACATCAATAAGGTCCTAAAGCTGGATCGTGTTGGAAAAAATGGCAATACAAATTGGATGCATTCATCAAGACTGGCGCTCTCTCCGGCGATTTTTATTTATTTATTCGAGTGCTTTCTACGACGACAGAGCACGCAGCCCATCAAACCAAAACACATAAACCAAGCCCAGCAGCATTCTGCTGATGCACATTAATATTTGATTGCGCTTCGTGAGTCCGAGTGTTGGGAGGTCAATTCCAGTGCAATAACGAGATTTGATGTTTTTGAAGGCTCAACCACATCCTCAGTGGCTGCACGATATTAATTAAATTAAATAATTGAAATGTAAAAAGCCGTGCGGTGTCAGTGGTGCGTTATTATCACGTCTCAGAGGGCTGGCAAAGAGTGGAGTTTGCACCACCGCGTCCAGGTCACGGACTTTTACAACAGCACGATGCAATCACGTTGGGGTCCCTGTTCTGACTAAGCTGGAGATGACCGATTCGTGTTAAAAGAATGAGGCGAGGACATCTGAGCCGGTAGAGAAACGGGGCTCGTTTTCATCACTTGGTGAGTTTTCATTCAACATCAGGTGTAAAAAAAGTGAATCGATCAATGGGGCTTCTAAAACGGCATTAATCAAGAGACACACGTGTGTGCCTGGTGTACTTTGAAGTGGATCACGACTCTGGGCAATAATAGATACGTGAAAAGGGAAAACATCGTGTAATCATACTCAGACCTCTCTCGTTTCAAGGCTACAACACGAGGAGCCTGACACCACCAGTCACTTAAGAGGCCACTCCATGCTGATGACTCTGTGATTGATACTGGTGGTCCAGTCAGGCGTTTTGGTGGACAGATTAAATATCATTTCATTTTGGAGAATTTAATGAAACCCACAAACACGTGTTTGTTTAACTATTTATTATGCATATACTATTCATACTCTGCTAAGCCATCTTATATATATTGACTTATAAGATTTACCAAAAACATACTAATTTTGATTGTTATATTTTTCACATTTGGAATCTAGTAGACTACGTCACAAACACACAGTGCTCAACTTCATTCAATAATCAGAATTTACCACGTGGAATTCGAGCCTCTCAACATTGCTGAAAGCACACATCCACACTGATGTTGACATATTGTAAGACTCGAAGAAAGCCTCACAAATTCTCATGACTTTTTTTTTCTCATGAGGATTCCAACGTCAGGCCACGTCCTTAACAACCATGTTGCATGTCCAGTATAATCAGAGTACCCGGAGAAAATCAACACATTTGATGAGACAACACCCATAAAGTTGGGGTCATTAACCCATTTGCTTCACCTGTCACATTCCATCTGGCCACCTCGTAGCCCAGTAGAGAGGAAGCATTACACACGTAGGAAAATCTCCATGTCCCACCAACCGCTCGACCTAAAGGCCTAGATTACAACAGGAATGCACCAACCGTTTCTGCAAGAGGCACTGGAAATGGAGCAATACTCTGGGACAGGTTATCACATTGACCCAAAAGATAACGAAAGGAGAGTATAGAATGTCGGACTGAGATACAGGCCACGTGTTCCTCTTGGTGGAGCTTACTTACTTGAGAGTTTCACTGGACATCTGTAGATTGTAGTTGCGTTCCTGCTCAGGGAGTTTGTGGAAGTCCACCAGACATGGATGCTGCCTCTTGTTATCATCACGGACCTAGATGAACACCAGATGACAGATAACCGTCCACTGCCAAGCCATTTCGACTTTTATCGGAGATTAGTATCACGCTTCGCGAGGCCAACTAAATAACAAATGCAACAACATCAGCAGCGTGCATACGAGATCGCCATTGTACATGTACAGTAAATGACTATGAAAGGGTTAAATGTCTTGCGAGGTTAGGCGAGTTTAAACAAAAAATAAGAACAAGCTGATTTGTAGCAGTGAAATGGACAGATACACAAATATGGTCTAAAAGTAATACATATTAAAATAACGTTTTAATCATTAAGGATTCAATAAAACTATAGGTAAAGGCTGAAAGGTGGCATTGCTCATTGAGGTTTGTTTATACCTTATCTACTTTATTCATACCAATTGAAATCTCTTGTTGCTGGACATAAACCGAGTGTTGTTGCAGCGAGGGTGATTAAAATCACCTACTGGGGAAGGATGAGTTAAGGTTGAATTATCAGCTCTGATTGTGTTCTCTTCCAATTCAACAGGCACCACATAAGTAGAAAATTAGACCAAGCAAGCAACCTTCAAATACCGACCGACCACTATCGCGAACTTAATCTCCAAGCCAGCACAAGAGTCACGATCACGCAAATGCAATTCTAGAGAGAGCTACACTCAGCACTTAAAACAAAAAAATAGACACCGCATACATTTGCAATTGCCATAGGAGGTTTTTTTTTTGGGTCAGATCGCGTAAATATAAACGTTCGTTAAATCTCAACTTAAAGCTTTCGTGACTGCAGGAGTTCATATTCTTTGGGTCTTTCGGTAAAGTCACGGAGAACAAAAAAATGTGTTCTACGTAACTTTACGGAAAGACCCAAAAAAATATGTGTCGTTAAACCCGCCACCACCACCCGACACAGGCAATTAATAAGGTTTGTCACGTAAACAAAACGTGCCAACTAGTTACTACTTCAGCACAACAATGTGTTGGAGAGTAAACACACAGCATTTACAATTCGAGTAAAATTCGAGCACGACGTTTCGCCGGTAATTACAACGTCTCATCACTCGACAGCCAAAATAGCAATTTGCCAGTGAGATCTCCTGTATACTTAAAACCTATTTCTTTCACACATTCACAATGGACAGGCTGAATGGTGAGCGAGTGACTCGTGAGACATGTGCACCCTCTTGTCCTGGGTGCCTCAACCGCCCCCCCCGCGCGACTGCCACCTAGCCCTCTCACCAAGACAGGATCGGCACAGTGCAACCACTGCGGCGTTTATTGACCACTGCGCGGGTGCAGGTTTATTGTTTCCTCACCCCCCCAAACATGGAAACGAACACGAGCCCAGTTGGTATTTGTAAAACACACACACTGATAAGAAAAGTGGATGTCTGCTGCGGCTAAGGGACCTGGCATCAAAGGCTTTTGGGCGGATATGGATTACGGTAATTTTTAGGGACGCGGAATTCGGTTTGTACAATTTTGTCAGAGGTAGGATGATTTTTTTAAGTTGTCCATCCCATCCATAATGGTACACCCAGTTAATATTCTAGAGTACACCGGCACACTGCTAAAATTATCATAATATTTCATGAGCAGACAAGCAGTGCTGAGTGGGACGTGAAAATTAAGGTAATAATGAACGCTTGTGTGCATACCAACACACTGCGAAATCTGAATACACGGCGCTTGTTGTCACGCATGATTTCTTAAACATTTTCAAGCTCAACGATTTCTCACCTCAAAATCATTATCCACGGTCCAAGATTTAAATCTTACCAATTGTCTCCAAAATTACACATCAAGTAGACACTGGCTCATGAATACATGAGGCTGTTTAATGAAAGGGGGCTGGGCTTGCAAACATGGACGGAGGAGCTGGGCGGATGAGAGCTAGCGGCTGGAAGTGGCCATTGCTCTTACCGTGCCGTACGTCCAGCCCATCTCGATCTTGTTCATGGCCCACAGCTCGTGGATGTTCTCAGCCAGCTTGTTCCGAACGCGCTCAAGATGAGGCAGCAGCGCAATCTGCAGCAATATCATTCAAAGTCAAAAGCATCACTGCGTTGAACTGAGACCCATTATCGTGAAGAGAATGTCCTCGCCTGTAAGATCGGTAATTTTCCAGCACTGATTCGGGCAGGCCTCGCTGCTGATGAGACGCTGCGAGTCGAAATCGGTCCTAGGGTTTGATTGTCATCATTTCAATGCTGCTGAGATTATGCACTCACAGAAGGCTGTGCAGCTCATGGGTTGTGCAGGAAAAACTTGTATTTTTTTTATGTGGAGAGACAGATGCATGAAGGCGACATATTGTCTGCGTATTTATAAATCCAGAGTGCCTCCGTTCATAGGGAAGCATCGTGTCCAGTGGCAGCCCTGCTGAGCCAGCAAGTGAAAATTCCACATTCTTATGGCAGTGACAAGTCTCTGCAGAGGACGACCCTTCGTTGAATTTCCACCAAATGGTGCTCATTGTTCTGATTCCCAGAGGGATGACTCTACAGTCTTCACAACCCTGCGACTGTGAGTGAAGCGCTCTTCCACCAGCGTCACACGGCTGGATAATGCGAGGGGAATTAAACGATTTTCGGTACAACCCAGAAAACAATTAAAAAACCTGGTCATGGAATTTAGAACGTAAAGTAACAAAGCTCCATCCTGCTTTGTGGAATTGCTGGAAAGATAGTGAGCAGCAAGCTCTAATTTAAGGCCAACAGTTCTGAAATGTGCATGTCTGTGTGTTGATCTGACAAAAATATTGTAGAAGAGAGTACGTGTGATAATCTGTTGTACTACCATCCACGTTTGTGTATTATGCATGGATTCTTTTCAAAACATCACTAGCAATGTAGTGTACGCGCATCAATTAAAGTGAGCATTGTGCGAATGTTCATGTTGTCTGAACGTATGCAACTTCACGAGCAGGGCAAGCTACTTTTGGTTGGCAATGGTGTACGTAGCATTGGTCACGAGCTGTGGGGCGTGTGGACAAAACTAGATGCAAGAGGTTAACGTCATCTGCCAAAGCCTTTGACAGTGATGAGAATGTAATTGCCACTCATCTTGTTAAGTAATAAACTATTTAGTGGCATAACAAATATAATTGTACCACAACACGGATGGGGTTTTGGATGCCATATGTTGGAATGAGATCATTGATCTGATTACTTCGACAAAGGCATCGGTGTCACTGCAAATGTTTATTCGCGCATTTTTGTCATTGCATCTGCGAGCATAGTGTGCATATATGTATGTGCATTAGCGTCTTGTCAGCAAGCCTCCAAACTTAAAAGGGAACACCGCTTTTTTTTGAATAAAACATCGCATAGTTCAGATGCCATATTTGAAGGCTCCTAAACAAAAAGCATTTTAGGCCATAATGTGTTGAACAAAGAGGAATTGTCCATTAACCCTTTCCAAAGCTACTTTCTAGCAGGGCTCTCTAAAGCTCTCTGTAATGGATTCCTCCAGTCTGAATAAAGATTCTCATTCTGGAAGACCTTCCACTAGCAGTGATGTGAGCAAGAAATTGCAGCACTGCACCATTACCATCGTGGTGAGCATCCTAAGTAAGTAATTGGCCAATAATACAAATTGGTAATAAAGTGAAGTCAAGCAAAGGGTGCCGTGGTGGCAATATGTCACCTGATATACAGAAGGTTGTGTGTTCGATCCCGAGCCCGATGTCTGTATATTTGGAATTTGCATGTTTGTATGTAAATATGCATGTTGAACTTCTTTCGCACCGTACGTAGCCAACCATGCTAATCGGAGCTGAGGGGAAGGACAACAAAATGTGGATTTTTATCCGGGCCCTCCGGATTTTCCCTCCACATTTACAAACACGCGTTTGAAGTATTTGACCGCTATAAATGTCCACGTGATCAGCCACTTCGTCGAGCTACCATTTGCAGCCAGGTCGCTTCTGAAAAAGAGCCACATCAGCTCAAGTGGGACTTAGCTGGTAAAGTAAAAAAATGTATAGTTTCAGCAATAGTTAATTTTATCGTGCGGCGCGCATCACCTGGCTGGTGTCGACTGGCACGGGCGTGAAGGCGGACTGCTTGAGCGACACGGTGGGCCCCAGCAGGTCGCGCGTGCCGTCGTGGTCGTGCTTGTACACCTTGACGTGCTCCACGCGCATGCGGTCCTTGGGCAGCAGCGCCTCGAAGCAGGGGGCATAACCCGCGGGAGGGAGGAACTTGAACTCGCCGTGACGGCCCCCCAGCAGGAACCGCACACTGCGCGGGTAAAACACCGCGGCCCGCGTGCACGGCAGGATGCGATTGCTCCGTGAGTCATTCAAGAAATCAATCGACGCCTCTGTTGTGCTCAGTATTTGCAAATAATTCGTAGAGTTTAAATGTATATATATATATCGAGGGTGCTTTTCAAATGGACTAAAAAATCTAAACTGCAGTATGAATACTTGGTTACAGTTTAATTTTCGATTTAAAGCTTTCGTGACTGCAGGGATTCATCATCATCTTCTTGGTTCTTTGGTTCTTTCGGTAAAGTCACGTATGTGACTTTACCGAAAGAACCAAGAAGATGGTTACAGTTTGTCATCAAAATTAGTTTTTTTTATCAACTAAAAATAACATATTTACAAACCGTAGTAAAAAGCTCACACATTGCAATATAATAACCACTCCTATTATGTAACGCCTTTGCAGCTTTTAACAGGGGGGCAGCAAATGTAATACTGCTCTCCTCCAGATTATGTACTGCGCAGCATTGCTGGACAGCTGGTGCATTCACGTGTTAAATGTATCCATTGTACACACATATTTTAAAGTATTATTACTATTTAACAACTAAAAAAATATTTAAAATATTTTAGGGCAGCCTTTAACATTTCTGCCAGGCTTATATTTCTATGGAGGCATTGTGCAGGAGTTCACAGTTGGAATCCCACCACTCTCACGGTTTCACAGCAGCATGCTGTCTGCATGCGTGTTCCCCAGCCACCTGTGCTGTTAACACCATTCCCTTGATTGCAAGTCCAGGCTCAAGGGTTTTTCCTTTGCCTGGGACTCTCTCTATACAATAAATATGCCCACTATTTCCATACAGCATGTTGCCAAAAGGTGAATGGCAAGAACGTTGCAATGCCATTCACAAAAGGACATTGAGTGCCACTGCTGTGGCCAAAATCCATAAATTAAAAAAATGACTTGCAATTAAATTGCAGGAAAATTGATAAGAATGTCTTCCACTTCTGCAAAAGGTATGGCTCATCTGAAGGGGGGCGTCTCTACGGTTCTAAATAAGGGAATTGATTAAGTGCACTTTCAAGGCCACAGTGGGTATTGCATTGGGACCCTGGAGTCTTCGTGTTGGGCAAAGAGGTTGTTAATAGGAATGTGTTATCAAATAAATATACCTTTTTGAATTCATTATCTTACATAAAAAACACCTTTCATGGGTCTCGCAAGCATACGCATTCCCCATTTCATGTATAATCTGGGGCTAATGCCAATTACGAAATAACAAAAAAAATAGGTTATTAGCTCTTTATTGATTTGTAAGTTAGACCGTCGACAGACGCTCACTAGTTATTTATAACCCAAGGGCATCTCTCTGAGACATAGAAGCTGCCAAATGCTGCAGGCAGTAAAGTCGCCGAGGCACTGGGCAGGGTATTCTGTTAAATTATTTCACCTCGTTTTGTTTTTTTGCATTGACATTTCTGCAAAACAAGTTGTAAAGATGCAGGGAAATCAGCAAGAACCATTTATAATGAATACTCGACGGTTACGGTCACACCTCAGTTCCATTCAAGGCTGGCAACTGTTCTAGTTCACAAATTGCTGTGGTATTCTAGAAAAATACATTATGCAGGATCTTTGAGACTACTATCACTACAAACAACACCGAAAATAATGCTGATAATTGGTTTAACGTTATTCACGCATGAAATAAAATGTGCAACTATAAACCGAAACACAATAAACTGACAATGAAGTAACACTCTGCACGTGGCAAACATCATTACTTAAGCGTCAATTGAGCTAAATAAACTGTTCAAACTATTTTTTTTTCAGGAGGGCCCTTCATGGGATATGTATCCAATTTCTCAGCGAGTCTCTTTGCATGTGAAAGATTTAACTCAGAGAGAGGAAATAAAAAGACAATTTCAGGCCACTACATGCAACATGTGCAATCATGTCTACAGCAATTTGGGAGTCTCTGACGCAAACATGACGATGATGATCTCTGTGCGATCCTTCAACCCTGCCTCTAGAGTGCTGACTACAGATGGTACACCACCATGGCCGGCAAATAAACATTGATATCGTGCTGCCAAACTACTGCTGGCTGCGTTGCGCCATCATAACGAACTTGGCCGGGAGCCTGACTCCCGCTCGCCCCTCTAAAAAAATAAGAGCCCGTACACTTCATAAGAGCTTAGGAGGCAGTATAGAACTTGCTTCGAAACGTGGTAGGGCAACCTGTTCTATAATGCACGATGGGAATTGGCAGCCGTCATCAAATGAGCACGGTGAGGGGGAAACTGGGCTGTGAAATGGTTGTGGAAACCGTGAGGGAAAGCACAGGCCGAGAGGAGATACTATTCAATCACGGAGAGGTTATTTCATCAACCAACAAGTGTTGAACCACAAAGGAGACAAGTGAAAATGAACATGGTTCTCTTACTCCAGGTTACAGATTGCTTGCCTTAATTCCTTGCCTTTTCTCTCTCCCATTTCATTTTTCAAGGGACCACTCTCACATTTCGTATCCCCTAGTTTGTCTCGTGCTCCCTTTTCGAATCTCTACTTTGCCTCTTTCGGTTGACTTTTCTCGCCAAAGCCTCCTTCTTTCTCTCTCTCTCTCTATTCACATGCCTTAGGTCTACGTGCACACCTTTGCACAGCGATGGGCAACCCAGACTAGTCGGTGGGCCACGTGAGCGGCCCTCGTTCTCCTCAAGTGGGCCGCAGGCTTGAAACTCTCCTTGTGCACTAAGCATCACCCTGGAGACACCTAGACCAGGCAACCACAAGAGGCTCCACGGGACGCATGTGTCCGGAGGGCTGCATGTTTCCCGCCACTGACTGTGCATCTCCTGCAATTTGTATTTGAACGTATTGGCAGTATAAAAAAGCAAATTTTGTAAAAAAAAAAATTCCCGCGATTCGCAAGCCCAGTCAGAAAATCTTGTGGGGTGCGTCAAAATCAGTTCTCGTGATGTCGAAGCAGTCGAAAGAGGAATGTTAGTTACATTTTTTATTTTAGATTGTATTATGAGGACCGGTGTGTTATGCTGCACCGGTGTACCGCCAATATGTCCATTTATTAGCTTTCGTGCATTCATGTACGTTTCTTGAGCGTGCGCATCTATTCCCCTCGAGCGCTTTCACGAAAGGGAAATCGATTTGCATTTGGTTCGACTTCGCCACAATTCAAATGATAACACCGTCGCAAATAAAAACACTGCCCACGGCTTAACCAACATTTTTTTTTTCATAAAAGCGTCTCTTCAATGCGAAGAAGCGATGCTAGTCTTCAAGTTTATTTCAGTGCGCGCGGTTGGCAGAGGGATCCTTTATAAAACGACGATGATGATGATGATGTACAAGAGTTGTGGTGAGCTGCCAGACTACGTCGCAGTCGGGAGTAGCTCCCTCGGTGCACCCACCTGACACCCGCGGAGAAGCTGACCACGGGAAAGAAGAGGCCGTCCGTGTTGAAATTCTCGAACATGCCCTGCACGGGCTGCCCATTGATGCGGAAGGAAATGCTGGGAATGTTGAGGTCCAGAAGGCAGCTCACCACGTCGTCCGCGCTCAGGACGTGCCGGTTGGGCGAGCCGACCGCGCGTGCGATGCGCCCTGTTCCGCCACACGCGGCGCGGAGGGGGTGGGGGTGAGAGACGGTGACAGCAGCCGGTGAAAGACCCCGGAGAGGGAAAAAAATCTGAATCATTATTGAGAATGGAGGAATCCGATTGAGCTATGAAGCTCTTTTTCACAGATGTCCAGTCGGGGTGGGTAAGAACGTTAGAACAAAAAACATGGTAGGAGTACAAAAACAAGCGAGCAATGTTCCAGCAAGGAGCACACACTCCACAATGCATGGATGTGTGTGCTTATACAGGAGTTCTATTCCTGCTCACGGCCAACATCGGTGACAAATATCTGGACCGGTTGTGGGCCTCCCCTTCGTCGACTCAGCCTTATATGAGTACCTGGTGCACTGAGTAAACATCGGCAATGGGGAGACAAAGGCGGTCGGGAGCGGTGCCTGCCATACAACCCACTCGTTAGCCGCTCCGGACTTCAAAGTACTTGCCCCAACAACCTGAGTAGGATACACGGGTCATATTTTCCCGTAATTGTTCAACAACTATCTTTACAGTGAGCTCCATTCACTATTGAAAGGTCACAAAGTTCAAATCCTGGTTGAGAATTGACCGAACCCATCATTACTCAACGGTCAATAAAATAAGTACCGAACCACTTCGTGGGGAGTCAAACAGTCATGAGAAATATTCTCCAGCTATTTAATGTTTAATTTGTATTATTTTATTATTTCCCTTCTACGTGACTTTACCGAAAGAACCAAGAAGATGAATCCCTGCAATCACGAAAGCTTTAAATCGAAATTTAAATCGAAATTTATTCTCCACTGGTTTACAGCGACCAAGAGAAACGAGTACAGCCTTCGCCGCCCCCCCCCCCCCCCCCCCCCAGTACTCACTCGATCACTCGCACACACAGCGTCTCCATGGGCGTCTAACTCTTGTGATCGATGCGTGTGCGTGCGTGCTCACTCGCCACGAGCCTCCCCAACCCACCTGACCACAGGTGCAGGCCGTCGAAGCCGTAGGAGTAGAGGTCGTCCCCGACGCCGTTGCCGCCCCAACCCTCTCCACCACCCGGGTACGGGGCGTAACCCTCCCCGTTGGCCCAGCCGACGCGCAGGTGTGTGGGCGCCGCCGTCACGTAGGGCTCCACGCTGTCCACTATCAGCTCGTAGTACCACTTGCGGTACTGAGCCGAGCCCTCGCTCACCCCCAGGTAAATGTTGGGGCGCATGCTGCGGAGGAGGAGGGAGAGAAGAGAGAGCGCAGAGCGAACGACAAGAGATCGTTGTCATTGAAGGTTATTTTGTTGACGCTTTCCAATCGAGGTGGCGAGCGTTGATTCATTAGATGTGCCCGGCTGTACGTCTGTTTGTCTGTCCCTCCATCTGTTTGTGCGTTGTTTGTACGTACGTATGTATGTAGAATAGATATGATTGAATATACATGAAAGATGCAAAGTGAGATGCAAAGAGACAAACAGAGATGCAGAGAGAAGAACAGAGACATATGGAGCAGAAGACAGGCAAATGGAGATGCAGAGAGAGACACGGTGATACAAAGAGACAAACGGAGACTCGGAGACACACGGAGATGCAGAGGCAAACAGGAATATGCAGTGGGCAGCAGGGGACAGTATAACAAACTTCAATGTTGTATTGTACCTCTATCCTCACAAATCCCGACCTTCACCCTCCCATACTAACTAGCGTGGTGAAGTATGAAGACTGCCCAAAATTCATTTCAGCAGGCAAACACTTTGGTTTAATTTGACTTATCGCACCTATACAACAGTGTACCTGGTGCCTGCCATGGAAATGTGGAATTAACCACACTACTGGTTCAGGACCAACAACCGAGATTAACACAACCCGTTTAACACGTAGGCTTCTTCGAGCAATAGTATGCATAATAAAACTATTGTTGGCTTAGATCGCGTAAATTCAAATGTGTCGTTAATCCACCACCACCCGACACAGCCAATTAGCAAGGTTTGTCATGTAAACAAAACGTGCCAACTAGTTACTACTTCAGCACACCGGTGTGTTGGAAAGTAAAACCCACAACATTTACAATTTTAGTACAACGTTTCGCTGGTGATTACAACCAGCTTCATCAGGCGATGTGCCAGAATTGCGAAGAAGTCGACCTCTTGCCAATGGTTATTTGAGGCAGAAACTGAGCTCTGTTGATACATCTAAACGTACATTCTAAACGTTTCCATATTTCAATGCTCAAGCCCCATTGAATCGTGTTGCTCTTTAACCAGCCACGTGAGAGTCAGAGAGAACCTGGTGAGCATGTGCACGTATATATCTTATTTTCTGTGTGAAATCCATTATTCAGGTTGGGCTCATTAAGCCTCACACTGCTTGTTTACAAGGAGCTGTCGTTTGCTTTATTGCAAACGTTTATACAGGACTGCAACCATTAAGTCGAGTGCATCACAATAATCTACCTTTTACTTTGATTTTGGAGATTACTCACAGAGTTATGTATCATGGGTGGGCAATAGTGACATAATGTGATCTGTACATCTGTACAAAAGCATCATCAATCAAAATCTGTAAAATAATGAGAAAAGCCACCACAACAGAAAAAAAAGATCAGGCTGGAAAACCGTACGTTTCAAACACCACGCAGAAAAATGCATAAAAATCACTCAAGACGACCACAATGCAGTTGTTCAGGAGCTTCTGATTATTTTTTTGTTCTTGCATAATGAACAACGGCCAAGTGCTTTGTGTACACGCTTCTGTGCATTGTTTGAAATTTAAAAGGATCATCAGTAATTCCAGGAAACCTTCGGTGCAGGCACCCTTCAATGGGAGGCGATCATTTGATGATCATCCCACAATGCTGTGCGCCCCAGGAGGGTTTGAGACACTGGCTCAAGTCGATTAATATCAGTGTCTCAAATCTTGCAAGCTTTCATACAGCTTTGACGACGTTCAATGGACATTTCGCAAGTCAGTGTTTCCACGTTTCAAATGGACAAACTGAGAGAGCCAAAGGGTGGAACGCACCCAAGAGGATGTACACCACATGTATGGGGCGATGGAATTCTGCTCGAGTGCAGGAACTCGTTGCGTTTGTTGCAGAGCATGAACCTAAAGGTGGCAGATGGCTTCGGGAAGCTTTCCTCCAGCAGTGAATAGGTGATGGCTGATAATGATGACGATTTACGCTTTAGCGATGTATGTGGCAGTTGCTTATCTTTAGTGATCTCGCTCAGGGGCTATACATTAAGCGTGCATCAACTTGTGTTTCGAGATTACACACTCATATAAGGGAACATTTAAATGATGGGTAAGCAGAACTTTCCACATTCTGAAACAGCTCATTATAATAAAGCATATTCTTTTTGGTAATTAAACTTATTCTTTTTTTTGTTTTTCTGAAGAAAAATAAAATTGACGCTAAGTCGCATGCTCTGTGGGTGGTGGGATAATAAATCTGCACGTGCAGATTTGCTCCAGAGACTTCAGGAGTCGACTGGGAACAATGTGTGGGAAGGTGCTCCATTTATTTAGCAAATTATGTCTTTCATGAATCTTGTAATTAATTAGATACGTTGCAATAGGTCTGAGATGTGGCCATCCTCTGGGACAATGCCGTGAGTGCAGGTCCGCCCCATGCCTCCAAAGCCCTTAGAAACCAAACACAGCGTTCGTTTCGCACACATGTTGATGTTAATTATGAATGAATATTTTTTCATCTGATCTGAAAGGCGATCTCAGTTCTGTACAGGCCACTTTATACATATCTATGTATACATGTAATGCATTTTCAATCTGTTCAGGAATCAACATTTTACTGTTGTTTGCTTATTAATGCTTTTGAATGTATGTAAACAAATGAAATTTTACGTGTAATTTCCACACCTCCGATTAGCACGGTTGGCTACCTACGGCGCTAAAGAAGTTCAACATAGTTCATACAATATGTCATATTCTTTGGATCTTTCAGTAAAGCCACGTAGATAGATCAAATAATAAAAAAATAATAAAAATAAAAGTAATAAAAATAATAACAATATCACGACGTTTCGATCGCAACACAAGCAATCGTCACCAGGTGAGAAATATCGCGGAAGAGCTGCTGAGAATACATGGTGGGAGCGCTGCATAGGTACAATATGTAAATGTTTCACTTCTCAGTGTTTTCAAGGCATTGAACTATAAAGCGATATCACAAATTTAAAATCAGTCAGCCTCGACGCCCTCAATAGGCCCTGCACAAGGGTCATTGCACTGAAAATGAGCTTGCTAAATCTGCTCTTCTATTATAATGAAGGTGATGAGGTTTTTCATTTGCACACATACGGAATTTCCGAGGTGCGATATACTGCCCTTTGTCAATCCACAGCTGGACGAAGGCTTCCATCATTCCGTGTCAGTCATGGTGGTTTGTTTGGCCATACCCCACCATGCTGGTCAGAGTGGATTGGTGAAGGAAGAGCCTAAGATGAATTTCGATTTAAAGCTTTCGTGACTGCAGGCATTCATCTTCTTGGTTCTTTCGGTAAAGTCACGTAGAAGGGAAATAATAAAATAATAAAAATAAAACATAATAAAATAATTCTCACGACGTTTCGGCCACAACGCAAGCAGCCGTCCTCAGGTGAAGAACAGGTCTGTCGGAAAGACAGCATCTGAATGAAACACCACCAGGCTTGGACCGTATATATGTTTTATTTTTATTATTTTATTATTTCCCTTCTACGTGACTTTACCGAAAGAACCAAGAAGATGAAAGCCTAAGATGAGTTCAGGATCACTCACCACCAACGGTAGCTGTGGCCACAATTTGAACTCTGGTTTCTGGGTTCATCGCGCAGTACGCTAACAACTGTGCCACTCTTCCACCCCCAATTCCATGAATTGGGAGCTCATAAACACGAAGCAACACCATGGTCTTAGGATTACATTAACAGCATGTGTGGATTCTAATAATCGTGCAATATGAAACACGTGTAATATTCATCACCAAGGTGTCCCTGGTGTGTGTGAGTGCAAGTGTGCCTCTCAATCCACCTGGTAACGTTGTTCACAAGTCGGGTCTGTAGCAGGAGGTCTCGTCCAGGCAGCAGGTTGTCACAGATAAGGTTTTGGTTGGCCCTGACTGCCACGCCGTTACACTCGCAGAGTGAGCACAGCACATCCAGAACCTGCAAGAGCGTTTGCACACACAAAGACAGAGGCACACACGCACGCAGAAAGATGTGCACCCTACTTCCCAAGTTTATTTGAGTGTATGCGCAAATTGCGGAGACAGGCAGGCAAACGTTCTGAGATGTACCATGTGCAAAAACGAAAACAAATATCTTTAGATGGCTGGGTGGCTCACAGAGGTCAGAGCACTGAGATCACTGCAGAGAGACACCTGTGATTAATTGAGGTTCTCAAGTATAGTGAGTTAATGGTCTCAACCACATCACCAACTACTCCGTAAAACCCCCACCCACCCCCCATCATATTAAATTAGATTTATCTTTTAATTTGACGGAGAGTTCTAGTTCTGAGAGTTGTTAAAATGGTGATGGCACTGATCTACAAGAGTTACAAATGGACATATCACGTAATGACATTTCAAACAAAAATATATCGTGGCACTTTTTACCCAGGCGGGAAGACTCACAGAGTCTCATGACAAATGTTTCAGGTTCCTACCAGGTTTTCGAAGTAATAAGCAATCATGTTTACGTATAATTCCACTGTGCAGCAGAGGGAATGTATTTTCACCCTTAATACGCCCACAGTAATAATTAGGGTGTTTTTTTTATTCTGTCAACCTTTCCACCAAACGGCAAACGCGTTACACCTGCGCCATGTCACGGCCAAAACGACACTAATAATATAAATTCAGATTGCACACTTGATAGGAAGCTAATAGCAAAGTTGCCAGAAAAGGAAGGGAATTTTAAAAAAATAATTATATATTTTATATTTTACCTATTCAGCCTTCTATACTTTAGAGGCAAGTCCCATTGGGCAAGTACCTATTAAGGCCAGCCAACAGCAGAGTGGTAAAGCTAGTGCCATGGATACCCAGCCACCTTGGTATTCCTAATGCTGATATTATTCACACCACATAAAGCAGCCATTTTAGGCCGATATAGCACTTAGTGGAGTGGCCAAGACCAGAAGCAGACACAAATTGGCAAATTGCATGTATGGCCAGGAATTACACCGAGGTGGCTAGGATCGTAGTGTGTTGTAGTCAGTACTGGAACACACACACTCACACAAGTCGTTTTCTTTGGCACAGCAACATATTGCCAATAAATAAATACAATTCCTACAATGCTCACTTGAGCTGCAGATAGTTTCAAGATAGAAATGCAGACGTAATTCATTTGAAAAAATTACAACGCAAAATGAGCTAAAAAATAAAAATTCGTACATGTAATTTGTTGCCTCTTGAGCCAACAGCAAGACAAGGACATGTGACTTCGTGAGATGTCCCAAGCAGAAAAAAGAATGATGCAATTTCACAGCACCAACAGCCAGGGGAGATGTTCTTGGCATGAGTATGAGAATTTGATTGATCTGAATTTGCACTGCAATGATTTAAATGTGCAATTCAGTGCTCTAACATAAAATGTACAAACCCTTAAATTTCAAGTAACAAAAGGACTGCAGAAATATATGGGAAATTTTTTATATTTTATGTATTTTATCTGCTTGTGTTGCTTAGCTGTAAAATGGAATATTTTGCCAAGGTTCCGCTGACTTCAGCAAAAAAAACAATGGCGGTCTATTATGGGCATGCATGAGGCTTTGCCCCGAGGTGAAGAAGCTCTTTAGATTTGTAAAGGAGAGCCGACACAAGATTGCAGGGGTTTCGTCTTTTAATCCTTTTCTCCCATCCACACCTGTCCCCAGCCTTCCCAATCTCGTTCCTGCCAAAGGCCCCTTCTTCCTGCACGTTTTCCCCTTATATCTACTCGATCACCCCTCCCACTAACCCTCCTATTGGTGGAAATCCTTCCCCTGACACCCCTACATCGTGACTACAGCGGCGGAAAATACATCGGTGCTGCACGTCGAGGGCCTTCTTCTTGTGAGCACGATGGCACGCGTTCAGACAAACAGGACTCCACAATTGCCATAGACACGGTCTCTCTCTCTCTAATCAAATGCGAGCAAATGTGATTGACGAATGGGCAGCAGTGATACAGAGCTAGAAAACGACCACCGGTCAATGGTTGTTTAGTTCCAAATCACTGCTGCCTGTCAGTAGGTCGCATTTGCTTAAATCTATGTTGTTGATGATCTAAGACAAGAGGACCAGAATGCACTTCTTCAGGAACTGCCGATAGTTTTTGCATATACGTTGAGGCCTTTCGTTTTTTTTACACACGTGTCTGCGTGTTGTTTGAAATGTGTGGATTTTCCAGCCTGCACTCATATTCTGTTATGATGGGGATTTTCCCAACGTTTACAGATTCGATTTTAGTACAGCACTTCTTTATTGCCACGGATTGCCCGACAGCTCGATAACCGGTCTTCCCTCTCCTTTAACTCTCCACGATAATAATTTCTCCCAGATGCCCGGCGTCCTGCGTTATCACGCTGCTTTCTCGACCTCTGCTTCTGGTCATCCCCCAGCTTCCTCCTTTTGTGCCCCTCACACTCCTCCTGATTTACACCTCGACCCGATCCCACCAACTCGCTGCCCCTCACACTCCTCCTGATTTACACCTCGACCCGATCCCACCAACTCGCTGCCCCTCACACTCCTCCTGATTTACACCTCGACCCGATCCCACCAACTCGCTGCCCCTCACACTCCTCCTGATTTACACCTCGACCCGATCCCACCAAATCGCCTTTCCGGCCTTTACACCTCCCACTCGGCACTCCTCCGTACCCTGCACCGCATCCACTTACGATCGTCCCCTCACCTGTCCCTCATTAAACTATCCACTCGTCCCCCCCTTCCAACTACCTCAACATCTCCAATCCCACCATTATCTCAATTGTCATCACCTGCACCCTCATCATGAACACCGATGTGCCATATTACCGTAATCCATAGCGGTATCCTTGTTCACCATCAGCCGTATCGTGACAATTATTACCCTCCACACATCCTCAGTTTTATTATCATTTACATCATCGGTCACATCACCTCCACTTTCCTTTGTAACCACCCTATCGCATCCACTCAATTGGAGGTGTCAACAATCAAAGTGTTCTACTACTGACACGTCGTACCAATACGAGTAGTGCCATCATAAATAAATTGAACTGTTTACTTTTCACCTACATTAATTTAAACATACATCATCACTGATGGTATGTTTACTTTCCGGGAACAAGGGACACAGAGGTGTAACAGCAAAGCACGGAGGGGGGAGGGGGGAGGGTAGCCCAGCGTGTAGCAATTATAGCGATCGTTTACCGCTGGGCACCACATTGACTTCTCGCCAACAGAATAATGACTCGAGCCCGCAGCTAACACGGCCGGTAAGTGACAGCCGCCCTGAGAAAACTGGCGGTGCGTATCGTGGCACAGCGCCGAGTTAGAATGGGGTGTGGGGTGAGCTAGAGGTCCACAAAGCTCACCTCCAGGTCCTAGGCTCCCACGTCTGAGGACTCATTCACGCCTCCTCAACGACAAGTCAAAGCATTTGACGATAACGTGCATGCCGGGTGGCACTGTAGCCGGGCTTGCAGAAGGTGGCTGCTTAATATCTCAGTCAGCGGTTGAGTGTGCCCATTCCGCCACTTTTTGAGAAGTCAACAGTGATGAACTTGTGGAAACACTCGTCTCTGCCGTGACCAAGTAGGATTTGCACTTCGGCCTCACGGGCGACAGCCGAAATGTATGTATGATTTTGAACTTCCTTTACACTGTACGTAGCGAACCGTGCTAATCGTAGGTGAGGAAATAGGCAGCATTGCTTATTTGAGTGTGGAAATATTTCCATTTATACAGTTTCAACAGAACACTTAACAAAAATGTGGCAAATTTCTTTGTTAAGCGGTGTATATTTTAGCCTAAGATTTTCTTAGACTAAAATACCCACCGCACTTATAATTGAGGCCCCTCAATTAGAAGTGCGGTGGATATTCTAGTCTTCCTGCACCAACACATTCCTGCGGAGGGAGCTGGTAGGAACGTTGGGTTGCTCGGTCAATGGCCAGGGTCAACGGCGGCGTGGTGTATTCCGCAAATATTCCCGAATGTGAGGGCGGGCACAAGCCGGCGTGAGTAGGTTAAACGTTGAGTTTTATAAGGGCACCACGGGGTGACCAGCCCCTCCCCACCCAGCCCCACCCCTCCCACCCCCCACCCAGCCCCACCCTCCCCACCCTCCCCTGTTCACCCAGCCTCACCCCTCCCATTTTTTAATGCACGACGGACGGACACAATAATCCCCTGTGGGCTGGTGTAACCAGGAGGTTCCTACCAGTATAATGTATCCAGCATGATGCAGTGCCTCATTTAGAATGAGATATGTGCATCTCAATAGAGCTAAGATATTTAGAGAGGGGGAAAACATAGCAATATACTGATGCTTTACCTCATTTAACTTTACCAACATTCATACGTATACAAATCCTCCACAAAAACCGTGGTACTGTGCATTTTTTGTAAAGCCATTTGTTTTCTAACATCTCGAAGGACCAGAAAAAACATTTGCTATGATTAAAACCACAACTCCTCCGACTTGTCCTGACAATAGTGCCAATTCACATCGCCTGTGTGACCACCATATGGGCCATCCATAAATGACGTCACGCGATTTTGGACGATTTTTTACCCCCCCCCCCCCTCGTCACACGGTGTCACAAAAAGTCAGACCCCCCCCCCCTCAAATATGACGTCACAAAGCTCTGCCCCCCCCCAAACCATATTTCCATTTTGAAAATAAAACATGCTTCAAATGGCTTTAAACTATTGTCATTGTAGTGCGTATTTAATGTGGCGCTGCACTCTGATGTTGTAGTAGTGTTGTTATAACAATTAGTGTTGTTGTAACAATTCTATATTTATTTAAAGTTGCGCATTTTGACGTGACGTCACATTTCTCAACCCCCTCGTCACACATCGTCACAAATGTCTAACCCCCCCCCCCCCAGGTGCGTGACGTCATTTATGAACGGACCCATAGCAGCATTGAACACAATAAAGTTAAGCTATTCTTAGAAACGCAAAGGTGACAGGAATTCCACACATCACAACTATCTACATACCACATTGCAGGCTCTGCCACTCAACAGCAAATATCTATGTGATCGCAGATAGACGGTCCGATGCGAATCCACCTATTGGGGTCGACATGCCATCCAGAACACTTGACTCACAACTGGAAGGGCTGTGATGGGGTCGAATCAGTCGCTAATCAACTTTGGTTTGATAAAACAAAAGTACTACTCTGTGGGAAGCCAACATTGATTCTAGATTTGAAGCTTTCGTGACTGCAAGGATTCATATTCTTAGGTTTTTTCGGTAAAGTCGCGTAGGTAAAAAATGTAAATTAATAAAAGTAAAATAAAACAAATTAAAAAATTCACGACGTTTCGGAAGCAACACAAGCCTCCGTCTTCAGGTGGCTGTGACGGTTCCACCTGAAGACGGAGGCTTGTGTTGCTTCCGAAACGTCGTGAATTTTTTAATTAGTTTTATTTTACTTTTATTAATTTAAATTTTTTACCTACGTGACTTTACCGAAAAAACCTAAGAATATGAAGCCAACATTGGTTCGCCCAGAAAGAAAATTGCCCTTGCCGTAAGAATACAACATTTCTTACAGATATAATCGCAGTGTTAAGATAATAAATACTCCCAATCATTGATTGCATCAGCATGATAATCGTAATTTTGAGTTGTTTGGTTGAATTAACAGATTACAACATTCAGTTCCATCTGCTTCACTTTTTTTTCTCTCTCTCCCCAATTTATTCCAATTGTACTATCGGCGTCGTGTTTAAGTGACAAAGAATCAATTCTGAAATCTCACGCAGAATTGCACTGCATGTGTCATTGGGTGCAATTCTGGATAATCCCATGCACTCCGCTATGAGATTATCAGCAGTATAAAAAAGTCAGACTTTTGATGTTTTAGTTTTAATTCCTTGTGCTAATTTTTTACCAGACACGTTTAATGAGATGGCTTTTTGTGCAGTTGTTGGTAAAACCAGGCTGAGACTCATCAACCTATTGTTACACCGGCGGCTATCTGGATTCAAATCCAGATTATACTGGTAGGAACCTCCTGGTTACACCAGCCCACAGGGGATTATTGTGTCCGTCGTGCAGGGAGGGGCTGGTTGGGGAGGGAGGGGCTGGGTGGGGAGGGGACGGTGGGGAGGGGCTGCGTGGGGAGGGTGGGGCTGGGTGGGGAGGGGAGGGTGGGGAGCGGCTGGGTGGGGAGGAGCTGGGTGGGGAGGGTGGGGCTGGGTGGGGAGGGGAGGGAGGGGAGGGATTCTGGGTGGGGAGGAGCTGGGTGGGGAGGGTGGGGCTGGGTGGGGCTGGGTGGGGGGTGGGAGGGGTGGGGCTGGGTGGGGAGGGGCTGGGTGGGGAGGAGCTGGTTGGGGAGGGTGGGGCTGGGTGGGGCTGGATGGGGGGTGGGAGGGGTGGGGCTGGGTGGGGAGGGGCTGGTCACCTCGTGGTGCCCTTATAAAACGCAACGTTTAACCTACTCACGCCGGCTTGTGCCCGCCCTCACAGTCGGGCATATTTGCGGAATACACCACGCCGCCGTTGACCCTGGCCATTGACCGAGCAACCCAACGTTCCTACCAGCTCCCTCCGCAGGAATGTGTTCTGACTGTGTCGCTCGGTACTCTAAGCTCTCAGCCTCCCGACCACCCCACAGTGGCTTTTTCAAAGACATACCAAAAAGTATCCCTCATTGTGAACTACATTATAATGCCGATTCGCTTGAATCCAGAAACCTTAATGAACACGGACCTTTTATAGAAGAACAACCTTAACAAGTGTGCTATCAATTCGTATGAGCACATTTCTAAACCGTGATGTTCATTTATGGACATTCTTTATAAATTCTCTTCTCTTGATGCCATTAGTTTCATGCTGGGGGGAACGTGCTAAAAATCCGCCCGAGGTGCAAGCGGTGGAGGGGGGGTGGGTGGGGGGGTGTGAAAACACCCAATGTGGCCTCCCGCTTAATGGAACACAATTGCTGATTTAAAGTGTCTCTCCACTCGCAGCACGGGCACTGTGAGTGCAAAACACGCGGGATCAACGAAGCGTAGCTTAACAGCACTTTTCCTTATCGTGGTGGGGCCCATCCCAACTCTCATCGCCCGAAAATGCAATTTAGCACGCACATCCCCCAATCATGTAACCAGTGCTGCGTGCAGAGAGAGACACGTGGAAAGCCAGCCTCATTCGCCAGCAACACACGCGGCCGTGTTTCATCCCAAAGCCACCGGGATAGTGCAGTGGTAGAATAAATATGAACAGAAAACCAAATATCACAAATTCAACAACATGGTTACAGAACATTCCCCGAGTTTTTGCATGGCGTGGCACATTAAACTACGCGTCACACGCAGCGATGGTGCTGCATGGATAACCTCGGCAATGGATTAAACGGCGAGCGTAAGTGGCGAGATTTCCGCATACGCACACGCCCTGATTGTGCGTTGAAATGCACAACCGCTACTCTCCAGGCGTCAACTCCATTGGGAATTTTTTTTAATTTTCATTGCTTTTGCTCCATCCCGGAATTGGCACTCGCAGGAGCATTCTCTGTGGAGCAGAACGCGCCGCGCTGCTGCACAACTCTGAGTTGTTTGCGCGAGTCATCCGTAACGGGAGCTTCGCCGCGGTTGTGGTTGTCGGAGGCAAGAAGAGAAAGGGAGGTGGGGGAGGAGAGAGAGAGCTGGAGGGTTTGGGATTTGGGTTAGGAACGGTTGTGAGTAGAGCGGCGGGGAGCGGGGGGGGGGTGGCTGGAGTGAAAAAAAAATGGTTATCATGCGGAAGACATAACGCAGGCACGGCACGCGTGGATTAAGTGCCGCTGCCGCTCAGCTACAGTCCCAGGATTTATCGGCACTGCGGCTGTGGGGTGCCTGCCCCGCCCGTCGGAAGCCTCCACACACGAAGGCGCACGCACGCACGTACAGACGCGCGCGTGTGCGTGCGCGCACAGGAGTCGCGCGTGCTCAACACAGACGATCGCACACACAATGCGGCTGTAACAGCGCTGCCCGGGAGGGATGGAGGGGAGGGGGGACCCGGCCTTTTGCTGAAGCGAGGCTTCGCAGACAGCAAAGCAAAGCTGCGAGGCAGACGGCCGGGCAGGCGGGCGAGAGGTAGGAGGGCGCTCTGAGGTGTCGTCGGAGCCACGCTCGCGTGAGCGCGCAACGGCAGATGAACATCGGTGGCCGACGTTAGCGAGGCAAGGGGCAACGTGCGCGCGGAAATGCAAGAAGGGCACGCGCTGGCAAGAGAGCTTGTGGCTACACCTGTTGGGGTCCTGTAAAAATCTAATTTTCGAAAGAGCAGGTGGCGATATAAATAGTGTTAATATTACGAGGGCTAGTAAACCTATATTTAGCGTGTGAATCCACGCTGAGTCTCAAGACTCTTTTTCAGGAGGGTCCTACTTCAATATATTTGGCCCTTCTTGGTTCTTTCGGTAAAGTCACGTAGAAGGGAAGTAATAAAATAATAAAACATAATAAAACAATTATTATGTTTTATTTTTATTATTTTATTACTTCCCTTCTACGTGACTTTACCGAAAGAACCAAGAAGATGAATCCCTGCAGTCACGAAAGCTTTAAATCGAAATATATTTGGCCCGTTTCCCTCGAGAGTAATGTGGAATGACAACGAAGTGCCTGTACATTCGCGGAGATAAACAGTATTTTTTTTTAAACATCAGCAACCCACTCGCTGAGGCTGCTATAGACTGCCCACAGCCATAGCCCAAGAGATTTTGAGTCTCATTCCCCCTGATAGAAATCTGCATGACCCACGAACACCGCTTTATTAGACGCATATACCACCACAGCCGGCGAACGTGCCACGGGATATTCCACAGCAAATTGAAACAACAGTAAAACGATGCAGTCACCACCATTGCAGACACGCTACGTGTTTATTTATTTTCACTGGGAATTGCGGTGCTCTGCAGTTATGCGTTATTTTTGATTGACGTACCAGGCTCTCACTACGCGACACGAAGCAACACGCGCCGCAAACTCCCCACTAACGGTACCTTATGGTTGCGTCCGTGCTTGTCCAGGAGGGAGATGATGGAGGTGATGTGAGCCTCCTTGATGATGTTCAGCGCCTCGGGGCTCTCGATGAGGACACAGTGAAGCACCTCCAGAATGCCTGGCACGGGATACATTTTTTCGACATTGAAGGAATTTTACTTGGGAATCGCGACGATCAACAGCGGTTTATTTTTTTATTTTTTTTAAAAAGGTCAGCAAGCACAATGGTGCCGCTTTGTTTCCATCGAAATATTGAACTCCATCCGTGTGCGCAGACTGAATCCTAACCGGTGCATTTAGCTGTCCACAAATTGTCGGGTGAAATGTGGTTCTTTGTTCCCTCACTTTGAAAAGGTATCTTTAGTTGCAATGCAAAATTGAGACAGGTAAGCAAAACCTATTTGATTATATTTCCTCAAAAATTGCGATTGCACTATTGGTGTCGTGTCATGGGATGCACGGGACTGTCCAATAAAACACCGAGAATGGTGCTCATCTCTATCGCAGCGGTGGAAATTCCACGTTTATATGGCGGGGGCTATCTCTCCAGGGGAACACTCAATGTTGAATTCTCACTCGTCATAGTGTAGTGGTGTTAACTACTCGCTGTTCAGAAACTGTGAGAGCAGATCGTAAACAAGGGTTTCCCGCTCAATCAAACGGTCAGGGTCAAATGGGGTGAGCTAGGATCCAAACCCAGATTGGGAAGGACCAATCAGAGGGTCCCACAAGGTGGCCGGGGATTGGACAACCCGGCCACGAACAGGTATAAAAGCCAGAGCGCTGAGAGCTCTAGGAGTTCTGCTACACGAAGACCCAAGTCGGCCGAAGACGTCTAGGACCCTGGATCAAGCCCTCCAGCCCTTATCAGGGCTAGGGCTCAGAGTAACCAGTGGTCGGGGAGAGATCCCCTAGGTCCAGCCAGAGGACGCTGGGAGAGCAGGGAGATTAGATAGCCTGCAAGGTCTGGAGGCTTGTACCTTCTGAGGGTAACGGGTGAGGGGACCATATACCCCTTTGTGTGATAGGGACTGTGTATTAAGATAATAAACAGTGTGTGCCATAAAGAAGTCCAGAAGTCCGTCCTTACAACACGACAATAGCATGAAGGTAGTTACAGACGTATATGTCGCATGAAATAAGCATCGGGCACACGGCACATTATGTCTGGATTTAATGTATACAATAAAAAAAGGCTCACGAGTTTTCTACGGCTATAAAAATCAACAGCAATAGACAAAATTTTCACAACACAAATATGAATCGTCTTATGATGACGATAAGAAGAACATTTGCCAACCTCTACTTTCCTTTGTATAAAAAGCTTGAATGTCTCCACCGTGTCTCACCTGGCTAAAATATATCTTATCCGGTAAAGCGCACACCTACATCTTTATCAATACGCAACATTACAATAAGGTGATTTTTTTTATGAGCATGACACACACGGCCCGGTAAATGGGATTAAGCAGAAGTCTGGAAGAGGTAATTACTGTATTCAAAAGTAGTTGGAGTCACTTGGCCCGAATGCTGATTTCTAGTGAAAGCATTGTTGCATTACATTCCTCCCGGGAAACGAAGTAAAATATAGCACTCATTGCTCAATTCATGACTTTTCCTTCATTTCAATGCAACCGCAATCGCACCACACCATTAACCAGTGTCGTCAAGGGTCTCCACTTACAGTGCATTAAGGCTCAGCAGTTAACCCAGGCAATGGAGGGAGGGAGGGAGTCTCTCTCCAGCAGCACAACGAAGAGTGACGTGGAGGTGGTGATGAAGAGGAGCCCATTGGGGCCTGGTAGAGCAGTTAATGTAATGCCATGCTGTGCTCGGGCAATGTTTGTCGAAATGGCACAGAAACTACGATAGCAGGCCACGTTAATTTTAACACAATATGTGTTGCGTCGATAAAGACCTTTATTTAAATGCAGGTGACAGGTGCAGTCAAAACACAAGATAATGCCAACAAGAAGAGATTTTTGGGCGTAGATAAATCACCCACTATGTGATTAAGGCTACAGTATTTCGATTTTAAGCTTTCGTGACTGCAGGGATTCATCTTCTTGGTTTTCGGTAAAGTCACGTAGAAGGGAAATAATAAAAGAATAAAAATAAAACATAAAAAATTATTCTCACGACGTTTCGGCCACAACGCAAGCAGCTGTCCTCAGGTGAAGAACAGGTCTGTCGGAAAGACAGACCTCATTCAGACGCTGTCTTTCCGACAGACCTGTTCTTCACCTGTGGATGGCTGCTTGCGTTGTGGCCGAAACGTCGTGAGAATTATTTTATTATGTTTTATTTTCATCATTTTATTATTTCCCTTCTACATCACTTTACCGAAAGAACCAAGAAGAAGGCTACAGTATTATATTTATACTGGACTATGGCACGCCGGTTAGGCTTCTTGTTAAAGTGTGAGTGATTCGGCAAACAACAGAAGTTCAGCAGATATACCATTGCTGATCACAGCAGTAGCTCTCAGAGGTGGTGAATGCGACAGTGGTGCAAGCTTATGAGGTGCTCGGGGTTTTTCCCTTTTTGAGGATGGGTAAATTGCAGCTCCCAGGAGGGTTAGTGTCATGTAGCTGAGCAGGCTGATGTATAATTGATGTAGAGAATATTTTCACATTGAGTTTCTTAACGGCCGTGAAAAAGATTACAGCAATTTTATCATTCGATTCGAGGTCATTCATCTAATCAGGTGACTGAACTTACAAGGCCGAACGAACACAGTGTCAATAGTTACATGGGAGAACACTGTTGTGTTTAAAAAAAATCATCATAACCATTTGAGTACTGGATATATTAGGCTGTTTAACACCAGCACATTGTAGTATATTGCAAATGATGTAGTTGCCTCCCCTGTGCAGCAGCCTTTGAAGTTGACAGCGAGCATCCATCGACAATACAAATACATTCTTAGTACGCCAAAATGATGTCCTATTGAGTTTACCACATAACATCAACTATATTAAGCACAAACTACATTTCTCGGTGGTCCACTGAAGTGCATGTTATGTTCGTTTTAATTATCTTACCAAAATGCATATCGTTTATACACATACATTATTTTCCCCACGGCATATACAGGCACATGTACTATTTGGGGAATAGGTCAAGCGTGCCAGTCCAAATTAGTCAAATTTGAAAAACTGCTCAAGAAATTACTTCATTGGGTAAGGCCACGTGGCAACATTGCACCCTCCTGGCAGACAATACCCATCTGTGAAACATCTCGTCATGGTGGTCAGATGTTTACTCCTTCGCCTGGTATGGAGGACGTCGTGGGTACGATCCTGCCCCTGACACCTGTATATTTGGAGTTTGCATGTTCTGCCAATGGTCGCGTGGATTTTTCTCTAGGTATTCTGTTATTCCCTCCACGTTTAGAAACATGCGCTTAGATTATTTGGCTGCTATACATTTCCACATGATAGGCTACTTCGTTGAGCTATCGTGTGGCGAGGTCCCTGAAAAAGAGCTATATAACTCAGTGGGCCTTATCTGGTAAAATAAAATAAAAAGCTTATAGTAATCACCTTGCACTTAAAAAATGGGGCAAATAATACATGAACTAAATTATTCCTATTGTTTACAAACACAACAGATATATAAGAAAAAATGTAAGCACGCACATTCATATATTGTATAACTGTTAATTAAAATCATATATAAACTCTCAGGGATGGCTGTGATGTACATATGAAACACAGTATTGACACTTTATAGTCGTATTGATAATATAATTTGTGCCCTCCTATCACAGCACATACATCGGCCAGGTGGCTCAGTGGTCGAGTGACTGGCTCACAATCCTGGTTGGGAATTAACACAGCCCATCATCCCTCTGGGGTGATTAAAAATAGTACCACTTTGTGGGGAAATCAACATTGGTTGTCCTGTATGTATGTAGAACTTATTTTGTCCCTTATGTAGCCAATCCATCATAGGAATATGGAACCTCCACAAATGGTTCAGGGATGTAAATCCATACTTTTCTAGACCTTTTAATAATGCAATGTACAAATAGTGCAATCTATTAATATTATATATATATCCCTGTTTCCACCCGCAAACTCCATAACAAAAAACTTCGCAAAACATATTAGTATGATGTCAATTGAATTTTTCATGGCTTTTGCTTAAGGAGAATCAAACATTATCCAGTGTTTGCTGGATAAAGTGTGCGTTTCAACCACGCATCGATCAGACCACCCCTTTAGGCGGTCGCAGGAGCCAGTGACTGGCAGCCAAACATTCTCCATTACCCTGGTGCAGACCTCCAGGCATGTCACGCCAATGCCATTCATTTCCCCGCATATGCTCCCCCCCCCCCCACCACAATGGCCTTTGTCTGTCTGCCAGCGCAGTGCACGTTCGTGTGAATTATTCATTGCGGTGGCATTTTCAGAGGTGCAGCTGCAACATTTAATAGTTGTGAGAACCGTAGACAGATTTGTGCTGGCAATGGAGGAGGTGAAAGCGCTGAAAGCGCTATGATTCATCGGAGCTGGGGACGTGTCTACTCTGTGAGTCAGCGTCACACACACACGTCAGCACACAGCACAAGGCAGAGCGGTGGACAAATACAGAGACTCATTAAAAGATAAGCCACTACCCTTTTGTGAATCTGTGATTGGTTGTCCTATGGAGAGACCATCTCCCTGCCATAGGAATGTGGAGTTGTAAATATTGGCACAAGGTGGTCAATGGAGATGAGCACTATTACAATGTTTGTTTGAGCAGCGGGCACATTCAATTGGGAACGTTATTGCGTGCCGTAATGATTTAAAAATTGAAACCAATTTCACGAACAATATGATGTTTGTAAAAGGGCTCATTACTTTTCATTATTCGCAAAGAAATTATTATTGTTGCTAAAAAGTTATTTTATGGCCAATTCCTTTTGTTTAACATACTTCGTTTTGTTTGCATTGTGAAAAAAATTAATTATTAATTCATAACAAATGTAAGCATGAATATCATAATCAAACCGTTTAAATTGTGTATCATTGTACTTGTACATGTCATTACCAGTGGCGGCTCGTCAATAGAGGGCGCAGGGGCGCCGCCCCCATCAATATTCAAGAAATATACATATACAAAATTTATATAAAAATACATAAATAAAATATTTTTTTCATACGATGTGCCGGCTGGTAGTAAGAAAAGCATCAGCATTTAATAAAAACTGGCTTTAATCGGTCAACTATTTTCTATGTTTTTCAATGTGTTTCATGCGGGGCGCCGGACAAATGGATGTCTATGTGAGACTTTAAATTTTCGGACAGCATGTGACCTGAAGCTGGTCTCTAATTGGTTTCTTAAAGATTCTCCTCGGGGCGCAAGTCGTTGCGTCCCTGGCCAATCAGAATTGGATACATGTTATTTTATCCAATCTGATTGGTTCTCGTCACCTGTCATTCAAATTTACGCTCTGGGCCACTACTGCGAGTGCGCAGGCGACACCACTTTGACACTTGCTAGGCTGATCAAATTTTTTGTGTAAACAATGGCAGCAGTTCATCCAAATTCTGTAATTTATTTACAAAAAAACCCTTTCACAAGGCTTTCGCTGGAAGAAATAAAAAAGATAAAGGATCTCGGACCGGACCAACCCGATTTACAAATCCAGCAGCAGGCCAGTGACAGAGGACGAAGCTACACACGAAGCTTCACCCGCGCTTGTTATGAGAAACGGAGGTGGCTGGCTGGATGTGATGTTAGCAATTCTCTTTTTTGTTTTCCCTGTCTTTTATTTCAAAGTGTCGGCACTGAAGTTTTGTGGACAACGACGGGGGTAAGAGACCTCAAACATCTCTCTGACAAATGCAAACGTCATGAAAGTAGCCGCAGCCATATTGATAATAGCATGAAACTAACGTTTTTATGTTCAAGTAGGAAACATGCTTTTTGGTACTTTGGTCTGAAATGTATATAAAAGAGAAACATTTATGTTCAAGTAGGAAACATGCTTTTTGGTACTTTGGTCTGAAATGTATATAAAAGAGAAACATTTATGTTCAAGTAGGAAACATGCTTTTTGGTACTTCTTTTGGTCTGAAATGTAAATAAAGATCATAAAAATTTATATTCAAGTAGTCAAAATGGTTTTTGGTACTGCTTTATATTTATTTGCCCCCCTCAATAAAATAAAAAAAATGCGCCCACCCAAAAATAAATATCACCAGCCGCCACTGGTCATTACATTGTTTAATACACCGTTTTGAACTAAATACTGTATGCTGTTGTTCACTACAAATTATTTGTATGTTCTAAACTTACATTTGCGTCACCTCGCCCTATATTTGGCACTATTTGTATTCGAACCTTGGTCTCCCAAACAAAGTACATTTGGAATACCATTTAGCTTGTCTGTTAAAAACAGAGCTTTACACACCATTTAAATTTAAACAAAGTATCCTAATTTATGTTTCTTAAACATAATGTATAAGTTTACGTGTAACATTTTTAAATAAAATGCTGCAAACGGAAAGGTACACATTTATATTTTACCATACTTTACGTCTACATTCTAGAAATGTTATATAGCATGGATATAATGTAAAGTCAAAGACATAAGAATTAGGCCCTCAACATTCAGAGCAATGAACAAAAATAACCACAACAAGGATCATCCATCAACTGTAAAATTTCACACAATTTTTCACAAAGTATAACATAAGCCATTCCTCATAGCATATATTAATGACATAAATCGTTCAACACTGGACTTAATTTAATTTAATTTGATATACAATAAGTAATAGATATAACCATGATAGCCAATCCCACTTTAAGCCCTCCGCCATGATTAATGGAGTGTCGTTTTTTTATCTTTTTTTCACCAAATTAAGCTCTGCTGGGTGGTGATGGCCATTGCTTGCAGAGGCGAGGGTCGGTAGATCGTGCTAATGTTGTGAATCTCCCCTCCCGTGGGCGTCGAGGTAGTGCCATGCCCTGGCTCGTCAGGAGAAGGCGGAACAGCAAAATGCGGACATATCATTTGTCTCTTTTATATGAAACAGTTTTGCTCCCTCACATGCATACATATTTTTTTCCCCAGGTGCTCCTGTTTCCTCTCACGTGTATAAACACATATTTATTGGCTGAAAACATCTTAATATATCGAGGACTGCAGGGCTTGGGCAATTGTTGGTGCCTGCTCACTGTCTGGCGGCCTACAAGATTGGTATATGGTTCCTTAGTGATCGTGAGATGCGATTTGCATGAATGATGCTATATAAAATGAAACATCATTATTATTACTAGTGTTAAGTGTCTTGCTATGAACGGGAGTAGGTTGTTTTAGCACTGCGCACCTGATGAGGCTTCCAGTCTCTCCAGACGACTAACCAGCCAGTCCAGGGAGCTGGAAAACTGGGCGCAGTTCCTGTGATTCCCACGAATCAGGGCAGCTGGAGGCAGGGACATGGGGAAAAGTGACACAGAACAAAGAGTGCAAAATGCAAGTCAAAGTATGTTGCGCAGAAACCAGCAGTGCAAATCAAAGGCTTGTAACTACTGTGGTTCAGAAACAAGCGTTGCATACATTTTATTCAGGAATAGGTGATAACATTCTCCACAATCCATCTTCCCACATCAACCAACATTCTCCAAAAAGCCAAAGTGCTTTCATGCCAGAATCAAAATACAGTAGTGTTCATTTCTGTTTGCAGCCCTGCATCATTGGGGGGCAATGTCACATTACTATGACAGGGATATGTCCATCCATTTGACAAACACTGTTGAGTTTCGACGCTGATGGATATTTTACCAGCCCCAAGGTCGATGATGGGCTGTGCTGATGCCCAACTGGGATTTGAATTTACGACCTTCCACATGCGAGTCGAGCACACCACAAGAAAGCCTCCTGGTCGGGCGGTGAGCAATGACCTCAGTTGTTAGCTGGGCGACGTGAAAATCAGACCAGGTCTGGGACGCCAGGACCAGACATTGAGCACTCCCACGTTAGGTAATTCGAACTACTTCCCCTTATTAATGCTGCTCCATCAGCTTTGTTTTATCTTTGCTTTCTACGAATTCTGCTACGATGGTCCATTAACGAGCACTCTTCTATTTCATCGGCAGAACCCTCACGGACAGCAGAAGCTATACATCTTGGCAGAGATCCATATTCAATCACCGCTGGACTTTATCTAACATCCAAGCAATGCTTCAGTCAACTTTCGATGGAAATAGGAGTGGCCAAAACGGTTTCAGAATATCTATTTAAATATTTAACCTCTGAAAAGTCAGCCATGTTTTTCATTCACTGGGAATATGGTGCGTATTTTTGTACTCGTATGTCAAACAAATGTTGATAGTTCTGATACATTTTAAAGCTCGTGAATATTCTCATAATTAAAACCTTACTTGCCTTGCCATCATTCTTTGTAGGTTCATTTGTTATGTTACTTTCATAACTTCCTTACCTGCCTTATGGCTGTAACATATGTAGCAGGATAACGTTGCGAGCAATGTCCCTTCTTCAGAGGCAGCAGTCCTCTCAAGAAGAGACATTTACCTCCGATTAGTGCGGTTGGCTACGTACGATGCGAAAGAATTTCAACATCCATACAAAATTATTCTTTGGTTCTTTCGGTAAAGTCACGTATAAAGATCCATACAAAACTGCCTGTTAATCGGTCTGAACGTGTATTCAGGAAAACTAGATGACCCTGCTAGTTCAATCACTATGAAGCCTAGCACGCATCTTACCAATAGCGACGTACAGATCTTATATATTTTGTCCAAGTTTGGCAATGAAATACGTAGCATAAATCATGATTTTGAAGCTTTCGTGCCTGCAGGAATCCATACTCTTTGGTTCTTTCCGTAAAGTTACGTAGATAGAAACAACGTTATCCTGCTACGTGACTTTACCGAAAGAACCAAAGAGTACGTAAGCATACAATTTAGCATAAAAAAATTTGAATGTTACGCTGTACAACCTAACAATGAGCATGCGCATGTTACAGCACGTGTCCACGGGTGTACACCTGATCACTAAAGCAACGGACCCCTGGTGGTCTGCGAGCTACGACTACAGGGATAGTTCCGCCGGGAATTTGTCGTTTTTATACTAATGGCATCCACACCGAAGAAATGTACAATTTCAAACAAGTAGTAGCGTGTTGGCGGTCCGCGAAATATTTCGAAGGTTCAAAAGTGGTCCCGCAGCACTCGAAAAGGTTGGCGGAACCCGCTGCGCTGAGGAGCAACAACAGTGGCGACGTTCTGATTTGCAACACGATGTAAAGGTTTGCGTGGTTGTTTTTCTAGCGCGCACGGGTGCTCGTTTGTCGGTCGACTCGGCCTCAAATCAGTTACCCGGTGCGGCGTGAGAACATTGGCACCGAGGAAACAATGGCAGCCGGGGTGGGGGGGGGGGGGTTCATACTCTTAGTTCTTTCGGTAAAGTCACGTAGGTAAAAAATGAAATAAAAATTAATAAAAAATAAAAACAATAAAATCACGACGTTTCGGAGGCAACACAAGCTTCCGTCTTCAGGTGAAACTGTCACAGCAAAAAATCTGTATCAAGTGGGGGTGGGGGGGGGTGGAAGTCCTGGCCACCCACGCCCCTCGTGGTGCCGTGTTGGCCTTCACAGGTGCTCACTCACGGCACTTGCCCCAAGAGTCGGTTAAGGCTACGAGGGGGACCTTTGCCTTCGCTGGTTTGTGTATGCATTGAGCGTGTTTCTGTGGACACATTGCTTTGTACGGTCGATTCCACTTGCAATGGTATTCTTAGGAAAGTCTCACAATACCGTATATGTCGAGTATCCTCATATCGGATTAAAATTGGATATAAGGATTTGCATAGCCTAAGGCAATGCTCTGCAGTTATCTCTTCTCGTGGCCAAGATAACAAAAAAACGATAACATGCGCCGGTGGCTGGTGTATATGTCGAGCCCCTCCATGTTCGTGATTTTGCGATGACGTTTTTTCACTACTCAAATATGCCAAAATAACGAATGTGAAAAGGTATTCAAAGCTGACTATTACATGTCTACCTACACATTTCCTTTTTTTTTGCAGCATCAGACAACATTCGTGGCAATGAGTGATGAGATATGTTGCTCTGGACTTGCACACCACTGGCAACACCATCTCCTCGTGTTTTTGACCACCCACACACCACACCGACTCCATCGCCTCTTCCCAGCTCCGCGCACTCGACCGTGTGTCTCTTGGCTCTGGCTCTGACCTTGCATTGCAATAACCTGGGAGCTGGGCTATCGCTTGAATAGAACATGCACCATTAACCAGTGTGTACCGAATCGCGGCTCGCTGTGATGAAGCCATACAATGCCGCAACGCTTGAGGACCCTTCCTAAAACCCCAGCGGAAACGCGGGGGCTTTAACTCGGATCACGTAAGTGTCGACTCTTGTACCGTGACATAGGCATTAGCCCCCTGGGCAGCCAGACACCACCGGCGTTAGGTAATTTTCTAAATACAAACATGGATTTTCCCCTACGACTCCAGTGTAAGGTTCATTAATTATACAGCCACTAAAATGTAACCACTCGCGTTCCCACACTGTAAACAGCCATGTTTGCTGTGTCGTTCACGGGAAATATGCACCGAACGGAACCTATTACATGATTTATTACGACGATGGCCAATGGTCAAGCATAATAACGGAGTGGCAGCCGAGAGATTGATTGTCTCCGTGCGGACGTGTACCAAGGAGATGGAGCAATTAAATCAGTTCATGTGCAGGTGCTGGGTGGATTATTCCATCACAGCATCGTAAGTGGTGTCGGTGGCTCGGGGAGACCTCTATGCAGCAGTGGACTGACCATAGTTTTTACATTACTTTGAGCTTCAAAAAGTGCATACGAATGATATAAACTCATTAACAAGCCAGACAGTGCGGCAATTCATTAACCCTCACCCTGCATGTGAATTAGACTGCTGCAGTCAGGCGGCCAACAGCTACATGGACATGACAGCGTCGTTGTCTGCGGATGCATTACGCATGTCGTTAAGCACACCGCGGCAGTAGCGTCCGTGTAAATAAATCATGAATGTGGGTCATCGCTGCAACGTTTCATACACAATTGCTCAAGGTGAACAAGGCATTACCCAATAGATCATCACCACTTTAACAATGATCGTCACTTTATCTTACCCGCCCCGATTGGACATCTGTGAAAAAGAGCTTTATAGCTCATTGGATCCCTCCAGTATAAATCGAGATTCTGATTCTGATCTGCTTGGGTGGCGCTTACTCGAACCCTGACTCCCAACCGGAAGGAGGCAACCGCATATCCCGGTTGGCAATGTATTCCTCCGTTCGTGGTCATACCGTTGCCCCCCAAACCAGGGAAAAGAAGTGCATCTAATAATCGAGAGAATACGGTGTATGCAATTGCACGTGAGCAATACGTCAGCGGGCCTTACGAGCCTGACGGTTAAGTGGCCACTGCGTCAGAGGAATGTGGAATGTTCACGGATGGCTCAGGCTGAGCACAGCTCCACACTCGTGTCAGCAGGGAGACACTTAGAATTGGTCTACCCTTGCGTCGGCGATGAATACAATGTGATGACACGGGGTTCAATTAATGCTCAATAAAATGCCTGTTAAGCAAGATCACAATAAAAATAAAAATCAGTATCAGCTATTTTTGTCAATTTATTGCTTGATGTTCTGTCATTCATGTTTTTGTTGTTGTTAAACCATGTTTCACCTTGCTAATCAGTACGGGTTGGTGAGGGGGGAGGTTACAGGACTGGTCTAATTTTCACTCGCCACTGATGTTAGCCGTGACTATGTATTGCACTCATCGTGAAATACAAATATATATGCACACAATTCCATGATTTATCCACTGCTGGATGAAGGCATGTCCATTTCGTCGTGATCCCTCACGATTCTGCACCACCACAATCCATCCAGCTTGTGCCCATGAGCCGATCCTATTGTGCATTCTCCGTAGCATGTTTGTTCAACTTCTTTCGCCCCGTACGTAGCCGACCATGCTAATCGGAGGAGCGGAGGTGCAGTGCTCACCCTCTCCGGTATTTTCCCTCTTTTCGATGCCATTCTATCACCAGCCGCGTCCATCCATCATCCCTTCTAGACAGTGCTCCTGGCCAAGGCTTATTACATTACTTAGGCTACACAGCGTATATGTCTAATTTGCATTAAAAAATTGTGCCTGCCCCAACGTCCTGCCTCCCGAAAGCAGGAAACCCCCTACAAGCCACAGCCCATGTGACGCGGTTCATGCGGATGATGTAACAAAGCTCTGAACATCACCTCCCGTCCAGTCGCACACGTTGGAGAAAAGGGGTGGGACTTTTTTTTGTTACAAACTATATTCGTGTTATCCTATGAGTCGCATAATCAACCCGATAAAAGCTAGAACAATTGACGAGTTTAATGATAATATAGCCCAGCCACACTTTGTTATTTCACACAGTTGCAGCAATTGTGTGTATAATACTACAGTTTGGAAAATGTTGTATTGGTACGCAGTGTACGCATGCATTTTTGTTCCGCACTATCTACTTCTAGAAATTGAAAGAAGAAAACAGGAAAAGCCAAATTAGTTACAGTGGCTGCAACATGCAATTTCCTTGGGTGGACATGGACTTGTCACCACTCATTCTGCTAGATGACCTTCGAGTGCATAGCCAGCAGTCACTGGGAATATGGGACAAACTGTGATTAGGAAAATGCTGCCAGATTTATGTTGCTTTGCATCCAATCTGATTCCCTACGTAATCACCTCCCCTCTACCACTGAAAAACATTCCCGATAATCACGAGCAACATATTCATCAGTGCTGTTTACCCAATGTCAGGAGGATGTTCCTAGCACAAACCTCTGAGTGATGGTTATTTGGATGGCCAAAAATAGACGAGGTTCAACACATGGGTGCATTAAAATACAACAACAAAATGCGGAGAAACTCTAAATTGCGGCAAAAAAAATATTAGTCAGCACGTTTTGCTGAATCGTTTTTTCATGTTTGTCTTTATCTTCATTGTTACTGTACAAAGCTCAGTTCATGCGGCAGTGTAGGTAAAAAAACGGTGCAAAAGCTCTTAGAGAATTTGCCGCTACATCACTGCCAACGGCAGTGCCCGCAAGTTTAAATGTGGGAAGCAACAGTTCGCAACTCGTTATAACTCGCGTGTTGCAGGTTCATACCGAGCAGTTCGTAGAGCGTGTTTAGGATCTCCTTCCACGCCTCCCCGGCCTCCTCCCCAGCCACGTCCGCAAAGTACGCGGCACTGCTGTACACGCTGAGCCGGTCGATGCAGTCCAGCACCAGCGTGATCATGCCCTGCGGAGAGACCGGCGCGAGAGTCGGTGCGGAGGAAAGCCGGTTGTTGGCGAGAGAGACGGTTCTCGGAAGGAAGCCCAGTGCTGCAGGGAACATGAGCGTTGTGTTCGAGGAAGATTGGTTCTTTGGAAGTAGATTGGTGACGGAGCCCAGGGTGACAGGGGTGAATTATCTTCTTGGTTCTTTCGGTAAAGTCACGTAGAAGGGAATAATAAAATAATAAAACATAATAAAATATTCATTCAGATGCTGTCTTTCCGACAGACCTGTTCTTCACCTGAGGACGGCTGCTTGCGTTGTGGCCGAAACGTCGTGAGAATTATTTTATTGTTTTATTTTTATTATTTTATTATTTCCCTTCTACGTGACTTTACCAAAAGAACCAAGAAGATGAATCCCTGCAGTCATGAAAGCTTTAAATCGAAATTTAGGGGTGAAGTATTTTTTGTTACGCTTTTGTACTCATTAATAAAACATATTTTATCTGGAAATCCGTTGATATGTAACATCTCGTTTGCAAGGATGTCCAGGGATAAGTGTTGGAGGGAGATAAAGGTCGAAAGGGGATCGACGCTAGACAGACATTGGTGTTGCTGGGAGGCAAATGTTGATGGATATGAATGTTGGAGGGATACACGTGTTGGAGGAAAGGAAAAGCTAACGATGAGGGAAATTGAAAACATTGGGATAAGGGGAAGTACTGGAGCTGACATACAAAGAGAGGAAGAGACAAGAATGGGAAAACGAGGTACATATAGATGTGGAAGTGCTTAGGATCACACAATGGAATGTCGAATGGGCCTCGGGGTACGTATCGAGGATGAGTAGAAACAAGAACGAGAGCGGACAATGCTGCTCCACACAGCATGGCACACAGAAAGAAAATTCAGTCCAGGCGACTGATACTGAAACCCCAGGAGGCACAGGCATAGCTGGTACTCTGTTGAGTACATGGTGGGGAGTAAAACAATGGGAGGGAGGAACCGCAAATACAAAGTGAGAAGCGGGATGCTTACGTTTCAAAGTTACCTACCTTATTAATCCAGCCGAGTGACACTTTTATTAAAATACCCATAAACACCGATGGAAGGTAATGAATTCAAATCCTGGTCAGACGTCGACAGTCCCTGGGTAAACAACTGTATTTAACAACACTAGCTGACTAAAATGCATAACGTGGCTCCTGCCATGGGAATGTGGATGTTCCAGAACTATCTCAGGTTCCACCAATAAGAATGAGCACCTCGCAATGTTGGTCTGAGCGAGGAGACATCGTTTTCACCAAGTAGTCATTAAATGGTAATGTCAACAAACATTAATTATTGGTTAGTGAAATCGTGTTTCACGAAACTAAAGTGCATTTTATATTGCTTTAATATTTAGTAGAACTTTTCTTTATTAATTTACAGAATTAATATGAAAATTTACGACTCATTACTGCTCATTACGATGAAAGGCGGTATATATTTATAATTATTATTATACACATGGCATACTTAACTAAAAACACGGAGCAAGGCTTTGTGGCCCCACTGTCATGAATAAGAATCTGTCAAAAATCGTATCACGTTTCTTTATGCAAGCAAAATACATTTCTTACACATATTAACTATCAAACATCGGGTATTAGTAATTTAATCTCGTCATAGTCGTGCCAATTATTATTTTTGGAAGTTGTTTTGCTCAGTGTACTTAGCTACGTACGGTGCGAAAAAAGGTCAACATACATTCATAACCACACAGCCAGTGAGCATTCCACCCAGAAGTTACCGAGTTATTTATGTGCGGAAAATGGGAATTAATAAATTATAGCCTCACGCAATATGTTCATTAAATACCCTAAAGCACCGGGTGTTATAACAACAACAAAAGCTTCACTATACCTTGGTACCACCATAGCCCAAGATTAATTGGCAAACATAAATTCGTAAAAACAAAGGTAAAAAACAGTGAATGTCCTTTCCCAATGCAATCTGATGTCAATTCAGCCTCGCCGCAGCCAATGCACAACCTCACTTAACGTGTTTGCTCAACAGATGCGCCCCACACACAACTGACAGGGGAAATTTGTCGGCATTGACTTCTGAAGCGCTCGAAATCCGAGTCAAAGTCGAAGACAATAAAATCGCCCAAAGCAGCGTGGGGCCGTGCTCATCTCCTACGATGGCTGTGACGCAGTGACGAATATTCCACACTCCTATGGTAAGGGGGCCAAGTATGTCCACAAGACACTGCTGGCTTTCCCACGAAGTATTACTCATTTTAGCAGAACCAGCTGAATGGGGCGTTGATTCTAACCCACAGCGCGCCCCCCCCCCCCTAGCTGAAGAACACTTTGTATTTTGGTCACAAGATAATCAGCAACGGCAGCAGCAAACCTCCAAAAACAAAATAACCAGCAAGTGTTCATTAATCTAGCTGCTGTTCTATCGTTAATCACGCTAAGCAGGCCGGCCCGGCAGGGAAGCTGACACATTGGCGCTAACAGGTGGGGCCTGTGGGTTGCCAGCGCCCGTCAGGAGCAGCTGTATCGTGTGGCGGGATCAATGGGGGCCAACGCGACCCTCGCGAAGCGAACGTACCCGTGACCCACGACGCACAGCATCGGGACAACTCGTTCACAACCGGGCATGGGGCTAAAGTCGGGAGATCAAAGGGCTAAATAATCTCGTTTGCGGTTTTATTTTTTAAATCAAAAATTAAGTCCTTCTGCGATTGTAATTATTACTCTTTAGCTAGCCAGGGTTAAAACTCTTCAGATTCTGGGAACTTTTCCAAGGGATCTCTGGCAGGATGACGGCGGTACATCAGATTCACATCAAATCATAACCAATTTGTCCAATTACAACACATGAAATATAAAAAATATGAAGGGAATAAAATTACACAATCGTTTTTTTTTATGTTGCAACACAATCTAAAATGATTAGAAATTACGTTTGTGGAAGGCAGTAACTGAACTGGACACTTGTGAGCACATTTTGAATTTTGAATATTTTACTGACATCGTTTGTAAACGTTTGACCTGATTCCATCTTATACGAACTGCTTCCAATTGGATGGTGCTCAGCAGAGAAAACTCTACGGCCTAACTGAGGGAGCCTTGAGTGCGAGATAGACCTCAGAATCAAAATCTTCATCTATCCTGGAGGAATTCCGATGAGCCATGAAACTCTTTTTCACGGATGTCCAGTAGAGATGAGATCCATGAGAAGATGTCCGATGAGGCAGATGAAAAGAGACGGGTACAAACTAGCAAGTGGAAATCATCAAGAATGCCCAAAGTAAATCTGTGAATGCTCTTTGGTTCTTTCGGTAAAGTCACGTGGGTAGAAATTAAATCAAATAAATCGCGACGTTTCGAACGCAACACAAGCACCCGTCTTCAGGTGAAAATCATGCTGCTCACAGCACGAGGGAGCGGACATCTTGCTGCTCGCAGCAGACATAGCAACTCTCGCGATTTTCACCTGAAGACGGGCGCTTGTGTTGCGTTCGAAACGTCGCGATTTATTTTATTTTATTACTACCCACGTGACTTTACCGAAAGAACCAAAGAGTATGGATTCCTGCAGTCACGAAAGCTTCAAATCAAAATCTTTGAATATTTCCACGAGTGCATATCTGCTCATGTGAGGGAGGAATCATTGGTGGTTATGGCCAGCTACTCCAAAGGATGACCACTGGTGCAATGGCCATTGCAAGTAGAGGTTACCCTCACTTTATGCGGGTTCGATTTGTGCAATTTTGCGTAAATGAAGCCAACTTATTTCCAAGCAATATCCACTTACGTGCGGCATAAATTCAATCACGCGCGGCTGTGCGGTTTGATGTGGGAAAACACTGTATGCGCAACTTGAAAGGCAGCCGTCTCATAGGGTTTTGCTTGTTGCACCCTTTTCCTGGAATGCATAAAGCGAGGGAAACCTGCAGTTGTTAGCCATTTGGTGGACATTTTGGAGTGCTATCCTCTCGTATGCAGTTTCACTCAGGGATGCTACAAATACGATCTCTTCCTTTGAGTTTTGAAAAATAAGGCTGAGTTTTGAGTTTGAGCTCATTGTGTTTGTTGCACGGATGATCCCGTTCAGGCAGTTGCCCGCCTATTTTAGAAGGAAGATCCGCAAAGCTTGTTTATGGTACCGCGAGACAACCACGTCACTTGACCACTACGGATGGCAGTGGGGAAGGGGCAAGAAGAGAGAAGTGTGCAACAACCTCCCCCACAAGCACACGGTGATGGAGAGAGAGGGAGACTGAGAGGGACCAACAGATATGAGACACAAAGAGAGGGAGAAATACACTGACAGAAGTACAACGAGACACGGAGAGATGAAACAGAGCGACAATTCAACTTCGAATAGGGCTCCAAGCCAAAGGTTTGGAAGACATTTCCAATGTCCCTGTAAATAACTTTGGCGAAGGTGTGTCACATTGTGTGACTCCCCTTCTAATATATATTTTGGAATGTCCTTAGTGAAATCGGTGTTGCTGTTCCATTGATATAAATGGTTTTTATTATTTCTGAATATATTTCATTTTGGCATTGATTCGTGGATGAATCATTTTCCTCATCTGCAAAGGCCAGGCACACAGGCATTTGAATGAATTCCGTGCTTTTAGGACAAGATTGACAATCTGTATGTTGTTCATGGTAGAGAAACCTTTCCTAAAACCTACCCTGTACGCATGGTTGGTTGGCCTAAAATAAATCATTATTTCAATATTCCATTCCCTCTGATGACCATTTTTGAACAGCAAAATGATTGTGCCATACTTTGTTAGCTCTTTGTCAATCCACTGATGAAGGAGGGCCCTCTGCATGCCATGCGGTTTTGAGGGGGGAGGGGTTATTTAACCACATTTCACCACAGCAGTCTGTGAGGCTTGGCGGTGGTGGGGAGCATAGATGGCAGAGCGTAGACGTACAGCATACAAATCGATTTTGATACACTGCTTTCTGACGCCAACGTTGAATACCCGAAGCCTTTGACACCTGCGATGTATGGCGGTTGCCAATCCAAAGACGACTCGCCAGAGACTCCAACCTGTGTAGTTTCTGAAATCTTATGAGCTCTGGCACAGTCTGGGTGATTTGGTTAAAGGCAGAACTATAAAACCTACAATATATAGCAGCCGGTTCGACACGGAGAACGTGTGGCCATTACAGAGCAAATCGTTTTAATAGGAATGCGCATGGTTTGGCAGCCAGGTTTTGTGGGTATGAATTGCTGGATATTATGGCAGGCAGTGAGACAGAGTGTTTGTATAAGCAGGAAATAGATGAAGCGATAACAATAAGTATTATTAGTAAAGAGAAGGCATGTTTGTAATTAATCATGGATCTAGGGCTCCATAAAAATGTTAGTTCCATTCGTTTTTATAACAGAGACTTTACATATTTCATAAATTCTATGGTATTAAACTGATAATAGATTTTTTTTCCCCCCCTGTGTGTTTTTATTTATAGAGATATATAGATATAAAGGAGGAGTTAGCCATGTGGCTCAGGGCGCTAATGTAATCGTCAAAGCACTGAGGTGGCACCACTAAAATCCTGCAATTTGAATCCAGGCCTCGGCCACTTGTATTGAAACGATTTTGCCAAGCACAGTTCAATAGACAGTCTCAAAGTGGCCACTGATGAGGGCGCAAAAATCCATCGCACGTATTTTGTCTTTCACTCCATTTAGCCTTAAGTATGAGGGCTAAACTTTGTATTTGTTAAATTGCCGCCGTGTATTCCACCTGAATGGCAATGTGCGAGACAACTTGGCTCGACATCTGAAGTTCAAATCAGGTTAGAGGTCAACTAAGTCAAAAGTGTCTGTCTAAAGAAGTGTTGGGTCCCCCACCATGGAAATGTGTAATTTCTACCACTGGCTTCAATCGTTAATATGTGACTTCATTGTTCGTTTGAGCAAACGTTTTTTACTTTTTCAAATTGATCCGCATGAGGTGAACCACTCTTCGCAGAGCATGGAGGAAGTGACAGTGTTGGGTGCATCATGAATGAACACTGGCACCGTCTTCAGAGGGCATTCCCAGACTGGATGTGGGCACACTGGTGGCTGATGGTATAGATCAATAGACACGCTCATAATTCAATACACAGTCCAGGCAAAGAAGCTGAACTCGCTAAAAGTTTGACATTCCGAATCATATAAATCAACACGAGCGCCGTTAATTTGTCCAAATGACAAAAATGGATACGTTGATTTACGTAATGACTGCTTAAGTGATATAAACATTTACGATATAAATATTGTCGCATCACACAGGAATGCCCCAAGAAGAAATGTATCGGTTGAGGTCATGGCAGCACACATGACCACCAGGCTGTTAGGGTGGAGGAGATATAAGAACTTGGTATGATGATGCAGTGTTCTCATGTATTTATACGTTCTGACGAATCATCACCGATTACGTCCCATCAGCAAAACTGTGAAGCCGGAGTCGACGTGAAAGCATCTCCAAGTGCAGTCAAGTGTGTGACAGTGTTCATGTCTATTGGAGGCAATGAGTCAGTGGTGGAAATTCCACATTCTCACAGCATGGTTCAGTCAGTTTCACCATAGGGCACAATTTTGAAAAGAGGAATGAAGGACTGAGATGACCCCTGATCAGGATTTACAATTGTGCGTTGACAAGGTTTGGCAGAATTAAATTGGGATATTGTTGGTTTCAGAAAGGTTGCCACTTCTGAAGACTGGCAACCTTTTACATTATAGAGGGAAAGCTGATGGTAATTATGGTGGAGTGGGATTCCTCAAGGGAATCTAGAATCTGACGGAGCTTTAGGGTTCAAGGAATCATCGGAAGTTATATATTGGAACATCCGCATTTTGGAACATGTTATAGCACGTCATTCCAATTCAGCCAAGCAATATCACAACATACGTATGCACCTAGCCCTACAAGTGTAACGTGGAATCCATACAGGACTGGCTTTGTGGGAAATCAACGGTGGTTGTAGTAAGGAGAGGCTGGTTCCCACCAAGTGAACATGGAATTTCTTTGAATATCTCACAGTTACAAATTAAAATGAGCACCACTCCACACTTATTTCAGCAGGGAGACATTTCGGCTTGACTTTAGACTTGTATCCATAGAGTAGTCAACCACAACACTCGATCAGTCCGCACAGCTACTAAACAAAAACGGTTACAATTGCCATCCCATTTGCCGCACCACCACCACAATGAAACAAGTTGGTCAAAAGCCTCGGACCGATATATCAAAACAGCGAGACGCTAACATTAGCCAGTCGGCGGTACAAGAAATGCAATCGTTTTCAAGAATCTTCCAGCATAAGCCGTTCCCATCCCGATATAGCGTCCCTCCTTGGCGGCACTGCCACTCCCTCGTGATGGAACAGCGTGCCACCTGTTTCTGGACGGTGGAGACTTAACGTGATGTGCCGCACAGGAAGTGTAACCGCAGTGCTGCGTCCCGCCGAGGTGGGATTAAGACGCACGCAAAGGCGCTGCCACCGCCCCCCGCCTCTTTGTGCCACACCACGGAGCAGAGGAGGCCTTCCTTGATTTCGATTTAAAGCTTTCGTGACTGCAGGGATTCATCTTCTTGGTTCTTTAGGTAAAGTCACGTAGAAGGGAAATAATAAAATAATACAAATAAAACATAATAAAATAATATAATAATAAAATATAATACTATATTATATAATAATATAATATAATAAAATAGTTTTATTGTTTGCTTTATTTTATTTTATTATTTCCCTTCTACGTGACTTTACCGAAAGAACCAAGAAGATGCCTTCCTTGATATCAATAAGAATAATGATGATGACGACGAGTCAAAGCATCTCTCTGCTCAGACGGTGGACAGCGCTCATGTATTCCGGCAGCCCTACGAGGAGGTGGTGGAAATTCCATATTCCGATGGAAGGGGCCAGTGTGTCCATAGAATCACTAAAATCGTGCTTCATACGAAACTGCAATCATTGCATGCATCGGAAAAACGGACGAGAGATTAAGTTGACACCTGACTGGGATTTGAACTTGCGATCTTCCCAATCGTAAGTCAAGCGCTCAAACCACAGTCCCACGCAGGCAACGGCGGTAAATCGGCTGGGAAGTGATTGAGGCATGAATGAGGGTTTCAGCAGCAGTGGCATCAGCAGGAGGAGGAGGGTTAGGGGTATTGGCAGAAACGGGAGAAGGACGCACAAATAGTTTTGCAGGCTCAGAAACATGAGGAGAGAAAGTTAATATGAGGGTCAACAGGACCATCAAGATTATCGGTGTCAATAGCGCATGTGACCCATTTGCCCCCTCTGACTGCTTCAGCAGAATCCTGAGAGGTTGGTGGTGCTCGAACCAACGGTGGCAACCACTTTCTCCTGTGCCCATCAGTGCACCATGTAACCGTGTTCCCACCATTGGCGAAGTCGACTTTTGAAACGTTATCTGTTATGGAGAAGTGTTCGGGAAATTGAGTTAACAGCCCCTCTTTCAATTGAATGCTGGATGAAGGCTTCCCCACTCCACGCCAGTTAATGGGGATGACTTGACATATTACTCACTCCAAATATTATCTGAACTCGGGAATTGAACTGAGGTGGCCAAATTCACAGTGCAGTGTGCTAAACACTGCGCCACCGCTCCCCTCAGAAGGAGCATAATGTCATGAAGAATTTGTGGATTTCGTGTAACATATGTCCGCTTTTTTATTTGCATTTTATTTTCTTAAAATGAACGAGCAATAAATTGATTGAACCTAAAAAATTATTGCACTTCATTCTGAGTGTAGGTTTTTGGTAAGATCTGAGTATTTACCCACCTCTGCTATTCTCACTTGAATGTAAACCTTTGACACCATCATTCCCCTTTTTTGTTTTCGGATTGTATATGTTTTTTTAAACAGAAGTAATTTTCAAAGCAATCAACCGGTACATGCTAAATAAAAGTAATATGATTACATACTATAAGTTGAGTAATAATACGGGTTTAACAGCACCTGCCTATGGGTAATTTTATGAACACAGCAGGCAACAATGTTTGTAGCTCACATTCCAAGGTTCGCAGGTTTACATCCTGGTCAGGAGTCAACTCAGCCTGTCATCCTTGCAAGGACAATAAAATAGATACCGCCTTGTGGGAAGTGCACAGTTGACGTGTCATCCGATGGAGACTGGCTTCTGCCGATTGAATTTCCACCACCACTGGCTCAAAGTGGCGGTTGAGATGAATGCCGTCCCCACACTCGTTTGAGCAGGAGAAAGAACTCGCTCACTCGACGTTTAAACTCTCCGACATCTCTCTCGTGCGACTCCAGCTCACCTCCTCCTGGAAGAGATTCTGCCGGTTCTTGAGCGCGCGCAGATGGTTCTGCTGCTCTTCATGCTCCAGGTCATCTTTGGGCGGCTGGAAGTAGAGGATGAGGTCCTGCAGGCTCAGCTTGACCCCCTCGATGGGCAGCTCCACGCCTGCCCCACGCCCTGCGGACTGCAGAGCATCCAGCCCACTAGGTGGCCAGGAAGTGGGCAGAGACCATCATTTAATAATAATAATACAGTCGACCCTTCCACATCGCGCGGGTTAGGGGCGCAGGCCCCCCGCGATCTGGAAAACCGCGTGACATGTTTTGGTCCCCTTGGCGAACGAAACGAGCACCTCCAGCCGGGGGGTTCGGAGGCGGGGGGGGGGGGCGCTGTGAGCCTTTGCGTGTCGTCTGCTGGCTTTCGCGTTCTTTTACCAAGCTTAATTTTTTTTACTAAATGTAACTTTAAAAAAATGTGTGTATATATATGGTATTAAAAGATTAAATACATTAATATTATACAGTGCTGTACATATATTTTATGCATTTATGAGTTACTAAACTTTTTGTGTGTCGTCTGCTGGTCTTCGCGTGTCGTCTGCGGCTTTCGCAAAACTCCCAAAAAATGCCCATTTAATTTATTATGCCGACCCCGCGATATATCGAAACCGCGATGGAGAAAGTCGCGATGCCGAAGGGTCGACTGTAATTTGATTTGATATAGCGTCATTCATGATATTGCATCCCACAACGCTGCACATCAATTAGCCAGTCCCTTACGCAGATAATACAAAAACAAAACCCCACTACTTAGCAAATAAAACACACAATTCAGCCAAGCAATATCACAACATACGTATGCACCTGGCCCTACAAGTGTAACGTGGAATCCATACAGGACTGGCTTTGTGGGAAATCAACGGTGGTTGTAGTAAGGAGAGGCTGGCTCCCACCAAGTGAACATGGAATTTCTTTGAATACCTCACAGTTACAAATTAAAATGAGCACCACTCCACACTTATTTCAGCGGGGAGACATTTCGGCTTGACTTTAGACTTTGTATCCATAGTGTAGTCAACCACAACACTCGATCAGTCCGCACAGCTACTGAACAAAAACGGTTACAATTGCCATCCCATTTGCTGCACCACCACCACAATGAAACAACTATGACATGAGGAAGGAAACAGAGGTTGGTGATACAGATGCAAAAATAAAAGAAGAATGAGAAGAAAAAAAGGGGCACAGAGGGTTAAAGTGTACTAACTGTTACCAACAGTAAATCTTCACTCTGGACCCATCACATTAGGATTTGTTATTTGAGGTTGATTAGACACAGCGTAAAACGTTTTCAACAACGATTTCTATTTGACCACAGTTGCCACCGCACGTGCTGACGTTTAGCCCGATTAGAAATAATGCGAGTTAATATCCAACGTAAAGTGTTTAAAATGTACAGCGGTGATTTTTTTTTTAATCTCTTTGAACGAGGTCACAGGAGAATGTTAATTGGATTCGATATGAATAAAGTGAAAATAACTAAAACATTGTTAAATGCATTAAATTGAATCATGCAACGCATTCACGTGTGGATGGGTGCTTACACAGCTAATGAAACACGCGTTTAGACTATTTAGATTATTTTGCTGCTATAAATGCTCAAATGATAAGCCACTTTGTTGAGCTACCATTTGTGGCCAAATTGCTTTTGAAATATAAGTTAATACCTCAGTGGGCTTTCTCTGGTAGGATGGAGATGGTTTAGTTGTATCTGTATGTGTTTGGGTGATGTGTTTTACCTTGCTTGTACTTTTGCACGACTTTTACTGTTTGTTGTTGTAACATTCTTACCCGCCCCAACTTTATAGCTCATCGGATTTCTCCACTATAAATAATGATTCTGATTTGCCCAAGTCACAGCACTGAGCTGTTGAGATTCAGCGTCCATGCCCTGGGTGTGTTGCTAAATAATAAGCCAGGCTCTCAGCCACCAATGAATGCATGGTTCAAAAATTTCCATCGTAAAAACGTGGTATGGCACTTCAACTCAGTGAAGCTCTCCGCAGTTGAAGACTTATTCGGCAGAGCCACTTATACAATGACTTACTTGTGCGTACATCTACGGGAGCGTACAATATTAAAATTGTGCAATGTATGTGCTATGCAAACAACCATTAAGAGAAATTAATGACTTGTATATCCACATGTGCAGTGCGTATCCTAAAATAAATGTAAAACAGTTTTTTTATTCGAATGTGGGTGTTTTTGTAACGTCTCTAATTAAAAACGAGATGCTTTAACATAGCAGGTTCACGTCCGGGTCATTAAAGTGCATAACGAACATGTTTTTTTTCATTGTTTGCTACCGTTAATCCAATTTCGAATAAAAGAGTAGAGTTTAAAATGCAGCCGCGTAGCTGCGAGGTGTTGCAGCTCTGCGATTATTCCCCATTGACCTCTTAACCCCCCCCCCCCGGCACGGCCTTCTCCACGAGCAGCGTAGGTGGCAGGCCTGGCCGCAAAAAAAGCAGAGGAGACTTCTCGCTTACGTAGGCAAATTAATCAATGCGATGACGGCAATTAAGCAAGCAATTTGCGCAACGAGCGATTGGTTATCAAAAAAAAAAAGCGTGCGTGCGTAGAAAAATGTATTACGTTTGTGCTGTGACGCTGCTTTGCAGAGGAGACGTTTTGCCTGTTACTTTCTGGGCATGTTTCTCCTCTCGGAAGCATTTACGTAGAGTGCTGCAGGCTGAATTGCGTGGCTATATTGTTCGGCTAATGTTCGGCAAAGCTCCAGGTGGCTTACCATTACAATTCACACACAAAAAATTCACCGCATGCAGGATGCGGTAGAAATGCTTTTCTGCAGCGCGGGACGTGATGCATTTTTGTCTTCTTGCATTTACGCCAGAAAGCATTTCGCTAATATCATCCATAATACAGGTTTTTTGGGGTTAGATCGCGTGAATATATAAATGTGTCGTTAAAGCCGCCACCACCCGACACAGCCAATTAGAGTAAGGTTTGTAACGTAAACAGAACATGCCAATTCGTTACTAGTACAGCACACCGGTGTGTTGGAGAGCAAAGCTTATATGACGTCTACAGAAAAGGCCTTGGTGAATATTGACATATGTTTAAGCTTATATCACACCAATAGTTTTTTTACAACGTCCCATCAATATTCATTATCATCCTGGATTGGACACTTGCATGATCAAAAGTTCTCCGTATAATAATTCCCTTCATGCTTTTAGGTGATTAGCTTTAAGATCGGAATTGCAGTCGAGCACGAACATTCAATAGCTTTCGCTGTAAATAAGATTTAAGTGCATAGGGGAGAGCCGCTTCCTGGATATATTTGGTTGACAAACAACTTACTTTTGCGCGCATTTTTTGTCGTAAATTTCCTACCAATGACGCGGTGGAAAAGCGTCTTATAGCACAATGTAAACGATCTTTTGAGCAGACAGAAAACGTTAGCAATCCTCTGCAAACATTTCTGAGGTGAAGCCAAAAACGTAAACCATCAACTTGCATGACTGAGCAGTCTCACATTGCTTAATCTATATAAACATAAAACGTATTACTGACAACCTCATGAATGCAATTGTTGTTTATGTGTGACATGTTATTTTTCTGTGATTCATATTCCATTCGTCACATCTTGCTTTGGTTTGGGCTCATCAGTTAAGACCAGACCACAGTTGTAAGGGAGCATTGAACAACCTTTAAACCAAACTAATATCTCTCCAAATAACTACTGCTAAACTTGACGAGCCCACGCGTGAACACGGTGGCCTGTTTGTTTGTTCGTCTCTCTGCAGTGACAGTTATTCAAACATAATCTCATTTCAACCCCGGTGAAGACGAACTTGCAAGATCCACGCAGTATCGACAAGCACTTTAAGTTACATTATAATATGTCTGTTGTTCATACCAGAGGGAACACACATGCAAAACAATGGCTGTCTTACACAACCTGGTAAATGCAGTCATTAAATGAAAAAAATAATTAGCATCCTCGGTAATACAATCACAGTTTGGTAAATAACAATTATTTTCTCCTATTCATATACAAACACCGACAGACGTTTAATTAACGTGTGAATATCAATGCGATGTAAAACAACTAAGATACGTTTGAGAACAGCCTATCAAATGGGAACAGTACTACGGAATATGGACACAATAATTGTATTGTGAACAATGTGTGTGGGAGTTGGAGTCTGTGGCAACCAGAGTACCCCAAAGGCCAGTTGAAAACGGAGGGAATTTAATATTTGAAAGCAAATGGCTCATCCCATTCTGCATCGTCATCCGATCACCACAATAGATATTATTTGTGCATCTTGCGAATAATTACAACCACATCGGTGACGACTGACTGCTGTGATATCAGCTGACCTGAAAAAATCACAAGGTTGCGAAATAAAATCCTGGTCAGGTGTCGACTCAGCTCATCAAGTTAACTGTGGTAATCCCTGGGAGACACTGGCCATTCCTCAGAGTATCGCAACGCAACAATCCATCTAGCTCCCGCAACATGAACTGATCTGATCGCTTCATCTCCGCTTGAGTTATCCCCTTGGGAGTCTTTCCTTCGATGGCTGAGATTTCAACGTCAGTCTGATCCACCAACTACAAATCCTCGAAAGCTGTGTGTCTTCCTCAAGCCTGATTATCTTCCTTAACGGCCAATATGATATCCCTAATTTAAATTTCTTCTCTGAGCCATAACGCTCATTATTCTGTCTCTCGGTGCAATTGCAAACATGTAAGTGCCCACACGTTACTTTGGACACATTTCACAGCTATTATTAAAATGCATTTGTTAGTGTCCACATTTATAATCTGTGTCAAAGTGAGTATTATACAATTATTGAAACTTTCACAAATAGGCATTACATAAAAAATTGTATTGTAAAGTTTTTATCATCTAGCTCAGTCACCCTGCTCTCCCTCACTCACCTCTTTAATTAATTATTTTGATTGCGTATTTTGACTGCGCACGAATGTGAAATCGTAACTGCTGCTCTGCATCTACATCGGCCATACGAACAAATTAAGAATTCGTGTTTGTTGATGCCCACACGACTGCACCCACCTGATGAAGCCATTGAAGAGGTTGGTGGTGCATCGGATTACGCGGGCCGTGCGCGACTCCTCGTGCCGAGAGCGGGACAATGTCAACCCATCGTCCATGTGGCCCTCCTGGTGCATGATGGCCTGCAGGTTGTGTGGGAGGGGAATGGAAGGGCGTGCGGGGTGCAGGGGGAGGGGGGCGGCAATGGGAGAGAGCTTGGCCAGGCTTCAAGAGTCGAGCACCGATTTGTGTAAGAACCAACTCGTCGTCAGATAATTGTGGACCGATGCTTACTTTATTGAGGGCGATATTAGCACGAAAAATTCAGTTTAATTGATTGAGATAACACGGGGACACTTCGGGATGCATTTGTAAGAAAATTTGGGAGATTTCCTATTTTGAAATTTGAATACCATCCCATGTTGGCAGCATTAGCAGCTTTGGCGAAATTGCCCGTCAAGACCAAGTTAAGCGATTTGCTGCTCAAACAGCACTAGCGTGACACTCATCTTCTTTGGTGGCCCTGAACCAGTGGTCAGCATTCCACATTCCCATGACGGTCTCTGCATTGGGTAATGATCTGCCCATAGAACTCCGCCTGAGTTCCAGGATTCTACCTTTTAAAAATACACTTTCTTATTTTGTAAGATATCTCGACTAATTTTGGAGAAATTGGGTAGATAAGAGTTGTTTTTATTAGGGGGCAGGTGTCATTGGTAAGTGTGTTGAGCATTTTGAAGACGATACCATTACCATGCCTCATCACTGAGATATTATCCCGTGTGTTGTGTTTTTGTTACTTTTATTGCAAGTTGTTTTCTTATGCTGTACAGCGCTCTGAAACCTCTTTGTGGCATGTTGCCCTTCATAATGTTTTTCAAATGAATAACAAATCACTGTTGACCTCCCACGAAGTGAAACTCATTTTATCCGGGACCACTGCACCGAGCTGATCCCCAAATGGGACTTGAACTCGGAAACTGCAGGTGGAGCAACCTGCCACATCTTACCACACCACCTTTGTCGGAGAATCCCTTTATTATGACGATATCACAGAAGGGGGTAAGAAATAACAACAGACACAAACATCCGTATAGCAATGCAATAAAATGTGTTTTTTGGCCTTTACTCAGAAGGGTTAGGGGAAATTTCTGACAATATCAAGGCAGGACAGGGTGAGTAACTTGAAAGTTCAGAACGTAGCAGGAATGCACTGAGAGAGGTGTGTTAGGAAGTTGAGATAGGTAGGGAAAGGGATGCGGGAGATAGAGTGAGGGGAAGTTACTGAGACAGACACTGGGCTGGTTTGCAAGTATGTTGAACTTTGTTCGCACCGTACATAGCCGACCGTGCTAACTGGAGGTGCGGGGGAAGGACAACAAACTAAAAACACACACGCAAAGTAAACATTTATTGTCGAGGTTATTTAAGAGTTATTTGTATTCTTGTAAAATTGAGACAAAATTGATCAATAATACATTAGTGGTGGAATGACAGTGAACTTAATGCCCTACTTCTTGGTAATAACATCAGGTCTAAAACATCCATTTAATAACCAACGGTGCCATTTGTGTATTACCCCATAAGAGTCACCGAGTACGGGATTGCCTCGTTGTCATATGAGCATCATCACGGCCAATCAACCTTAAAACGTCACCACGAATTTACAAAACGCTGCTCAGAGATGAGCCGCCGTAGCGCGAAGACGTAAACCCACTGGGCGGAATGTGATTGAAACGGACTGTGGCAACGATCTGGACCGTCCAACAACAGTCGTGGCGATGTGCAAGCAGGACGGAAGCGAGGACCAACCTTGCGCGTGTACGAGCCCATGCGTGCGGTCTTGGCATCGGCTGCCTGGTAGGTGAGCCACCGCCCGCTCTCCACATGCTGCATGTAGCACACCGAGTCGCCGTACTTGATCTCTGGAGAGCCCATGCCGTCTATGTCTCTCCGGGGACCCGAGTCCAGCTTGTCCTGTGGAAAGGGAGCCGATCGTGCGAAGGAAACTTAGTCATAGACGTTCATGGCTATACAATCAAATATCAACATTGAACTCTTTCCCGCTCCAAGAAGTCTGCAAGTTGCAGGGTGGGTCCTGCAACGCGCAGGCGTTTAGCTGTAATTTTATTTAGAGAGGCGTCACGCTGTTGTTTTAAAGACATTGTACTCACCGCAGAGAATTGCGAAATGATCATTTTCATTTGAATAAATTGTAGACACATTTCAATCATTTGGATGTTTGTATGTTTTTTTTTTAAAGTTATGGGAGGTAACCAGAGAACCCAGAGGAAACACATACAGAACAGGGGGAGAAAATACAAACTTCACAAAGAAACGAGCCCAAGTTGGAAATCAAACCCAGGCCCTTCTTACTCTGAGGAACAAACCATACCATTGCGTCACCATTTCACTTTTATGTTTTACTACTTCTAAAATTGTGAGTAATCGGTAAGTAGGGACTGATTACTTTTCAAAACTCACTCTCTCAACGCTGCTGCTGAGCACCTAGAAAGACCAAAACGCCACTCCAGTGGAGCATAAGTAGATAGGGGCATGGACTGTCAAGATAAGAACAAAATAATGTTATAAATGTAATAGACAGCAGGGCATAAGGACTGGGGCACAGTGGGTCAGAGCAGTGCAGAATGATGCGCAAAAGGGGAAAAAACACAGGACACGGAGGGCTTTTATTGATGTGATGGGCTGGGATGAGAGGGTTAAGGTTGGGAATTGCAGTTGGGAAGCAGGGACGGACACAAAATGAGCAGTGTTAGTGGGGGATGGTCAGGGGAAGATGAAACAGAACTTTACAGGAAAGGGAAATGTGTAAAAATAGCACAATGAGGCCAGGTGGAGGTGGTCAGGGTCAAGCAGATAATGATGGGACACGTTATCGTGTCTGCTTGAAGGTTCACGGAGGATTTTTCCAGTTACTGCTGGTGCAGTGTCCATTCCATAGCGTGCTGACATGCAGAGATAACTGGTGGGGTGCAGGAGAAAGACGGTAATGGATCGGTCTTGCACGCAATGGAATCATGACGGGTGATTTGATACTGGTTTTCAAATGATCCCTTAACATTATGTGACGGAAACATATAATTAATCAAGTGACTGTATAATAGTACATTAAAGCAAACTGGCTTTGCCAAACCTGCAATGGAAATATTCTGAACCATTAGCCGCCCCGCTGTGTTATGCTTCAAGCCAAATTATTCATTTCGTGCAGCAATAGGCATGAGGGAAGATTGTTGTTTTCCAACATTTAATTGTATCAGTACATGGTTCTGTGAGCAGGGCTCGTTCTGACAGTGTTCACTGCAAGGGCTGCAGTCGTACATAAAGCCGCAGCTCATGGAAGTGAGCCGTCTTGTTTTGATGGAGACATTCACGTAGAACTATTGTTTGCTCTGGAGATGATTGTCAAATTTGGGTTACAGTGTGTTCAAATAAGAAACGGCAATGGCGAGATGTTAATTACCTCGCCTGGTATACAGAAAGTCATGGGTTCGATCCTGACCCTGAATTTGCATGTCTCTATCCCCGTGGTTGCGTGTATTTATCTCCGAGTCCTCCGTTTTTTTTCCTCCACATTTAGAATCAACATGCATTTACAGTATTTTGCTGCTATAAATGTCCACATGACAAGCCACTTCGTAGGGCTATCATTTGTGGCCAGGTCGCGTCTGAAAAAGAGCTATGTAGCTTAGTGGGCCTTACCTGGTACAATAAAAATAGTTTAGTTTAGTTTGATGTCATGTATTCAGTCAGAAAAGCCTGAACGAGATCCTTGGGAAACTGATGTTTGATCTGGAAACATTTCTCATGGACTTATTGAAGCAGGCAAACCCTGGATGAGTTTGACTCTCAGTCTCCTCACTAGAGACAGGCTTGGTAAAAAAAAATGCTGCTATGTCATCAGATTTTACAGGCAACCAAGCCTGATGCAGCATCACCTGGTCACACGTTTGTGTATTTTACTAAACAATAACTTTCCTATATAGGCCTCAGAAATAGTAGGCATTTATTCCCGTAATGTAATTCGCTCGCATATATATCCTCAACTACATAGTCTGTCTGATAAAGAACGGCAGTGAACTCTTAAGTGACACAGGCTAAAGACACTGGCCGTGCGTTTCTCTGAATGCTCAGCATGGCTGGGCATCAGCGCAGCTTTTACAAGCGTGATTGAAAGTGACTGTGCCGAGGCTAAGGGTGTCCGCAATCCGATTCCCCACAATGAGAAATGCCTTTAAAAGTGGAAATAAATTATCGGCGTCAATAATTCGCCATCCCAGATAAGAGTAAGGTTTGGCGGCACGGACAGAAGAAGGAGAATGCTAAACGGGCGTGTTGCCTGCTGCACCCAGCTGATCTGGCTTTCATCGCACGTTCCTGGCGGCCAGTGTTTTGCTGATTGAACGGAGGCGGGGGGGGACGTTGGTAGAATGTTATTGATGGCTATTACACACACACACATATGCCTCGCACCACCACCGCGGAACAAGGTATTCTTTTGTTTTGCGGTTTCGTGGTCCGTTTTGTTATCGCAACCCTTCCGCCACTTTATTCCTCCTCGAGATGGCAGGATGACACTCCCGTGCAGGCATGCGCGTCCACGTGAGCGGTCCTCTTTAACAACGGCTATTATTACGGCCATGACATCACAATGGCTGGTGGTAAAATTAGGTGGCCGACAAAAATACACGCACGGACACGGACGAGTGCACTTTAGGTGGCAAGACAACGCACGCTCGGAGGAGGAGTAAGTTCACGTCTGCCAACTCAGACCCGAGGAAGCCGTAAAAATGTTACGGCAGAAGTCACTGCGGATAGAATAACACTGGATGCGAGCATCAATCACCAAGACGGACACTATTATGCTTCGAATAAATAAGTGATTTTTCTTCCCTACTTACAAACCGGTAATGAAATGAAAACAAAATAATGAATCATATTACGAGACAGTGATTTATACATCAAATTGATATTAGACACCATGGAAATAAAATTAACAGTTAATAACTACTGTTTGTCTCTTGTTAATAGCACTTTGGGTGAGTTCCATCTGAATATTACTTCATAATATGATTGTCGCTGTTAATGTTGTGAGTGACATTTAATTTTTAATATTTAGTTTTGTTTTCCCATCTCAAAATCACTGTACTGTATAGCTGGCTATGTGTTGCAATGCAACTTAGAAAATTAGGCCAGCCAATGTGGAATGTTTTTTGTTCACACAAATTAAACTTTCCCTTACCCATAATTTTTTCTTTGTAAAAACTACATCGCAATGGCTCACAACTACTATTTCCAGGACGAGTTAACTGTTAATTCAACGTTACAAAACAACAAAAGACTAAATTAGAATTGTGGTGCAACAAACAATGGCTTGAACAAAATACTTGACTCTAAGAACGACAGTGATATTTTGAAATTTACCTGTTTTCAGTGAGAAAACGTGTGCATTTGTGTCGTTCATTCACATAAAGTCCTGGTCACAAAAGCAAAGTTTGTGGGGAATAATATAAATTTTCTATACTTTTAGGCATAATCAATTACAAAATAACACTTAGTACCCAGGAACAAAAACTGTGTTACATCGTGTAATTAAAACTGTGATGAACCAATTCTACCTAAGTCGTATTTTTTTGGATTTCAGTCAAAAATATAATTTAATAAAACCTTCACCATGACATGACATTAAAGTGTGTGTGTGTATTTAACCAATGCAAATAACAGTATTCTAAATTAAAACGTTATGACTTAAGTTTGATAACATTTGTACATTTGGACCGCAGCTAATGAAGCGAACGAAAATGAAATAGTTCAGCCGAAGTGCAAATTATTGAAATTGAAACCTTAACAGCCAAATGAAACGTACAATTTGTACAGAGTGTCATATTAAATCAGTTTCATTTATACTCACAAACACATTTTTTTTGCTCCTTTTGGGATTAATAAATACAACTCAATGCAGTACATATCGAGTTACAAACATCGCTCAAAAACACCTATACAGTCGGGTACTGTCAGAGCCAGACATTGGCAGTGGAGAAGGGTTGGATGTCGACTGTTGGAACAGTTGAGGGATTTAGCAGAAGGGATTTGATGCTGAGGTGTGGCGGCATTAACAGCATTGTCCGCGAAGACCCGTTGACCTTTACCGTGATGGCATTGTTGCTTCTCCCGATGAACGGAGCTGTTAAATTGAGCATGGCGATCGGCTCAGTATGAGTGAGCAAGCACGGCAGTAAGTTGGCGATGGCTGAAGGGAATTAATGACCCATATATCACAGAACCTGGAGAATTCGTTAACAGTTTTGACAAAAAGTCTGTGCCCAGGTTAAGTCATAGACATGTTGCCTTGTCAACTCCTGTGCATCCAGCACTCACACCAACATTATCAGCAGCCACGGTTAACCGACAACCAAATTAAGGCCTTCCCTATCTGTCGATACATAACTTGCAATATGGTGATCGACCTCCATCTCCTATACATAAAGCGGTAGCAATATCCATCCATATTCCTTGATTTAAATCAAATCAACATGCTTCCATAGACGAATGCGCAATGGGGCGACACTCATTTCCAAATATAGCCCTGAGCCACTGGTAGAAATATTCCACATTTCTATGACAAAAGGAAGTCTATTCATACGATGACCCCCCACCACTGGCATTTTAATATGCAAAATTCTGACTGCCAGATGAGTACTCGGACCACAACGACGAATATTTTGAGTGAGGCTGCTGGACGAGCACATGACCAAGTTACCTCCTCTTCTGGTAGAGATGTATCTACGTCTGTGGACTCTTCTCTACAGTGGCAGTTGGGAGGGAATATGCTAAACGTAATGAATCTGGAACAACCCGGGCACCGACACCGACGTACCAACAAACAAGATAATGTAGCAATATTTTATATAGAGCAGGTAGGTATAAAAGCAGGAATTTTGGCAACATTTTACCCGTAATATGAATATGAATAACCTCCGCTCTCCCTAAAACTAGGCCTAATCGCCAAGCCAAGCTTGTCAAGTTACTAAAAACACTTTCATTCCCCCTGGACAGGCACAAGCATCAACCAGTGGGTCGACGTTTCCCGGGCAGTGAGTCTGTTCCGCCGTAGTACCAAGAGATGAGGTTCAGCCATTATCCAAAAACAACGGCTTAAAAGAAGAAAAGCGGATCACACCTAACACTGCCTGTTCCGCACCATCGGCCTACACGGGACACCAGAGAACAAATGCAAAAATTCAGCAACCACTGCGATGGCAAGGATCGTTGTTATCGGAGGAGGCAAAGAGAGTCGCGGGGGCAGGTGGGGGTAGCGTAGTGGGGGCGAAGACATGGCCGCTGGAGCCAAATGCCAGGACCCTCTGCTGTGGCCCCATTTGGGGGCGCGCGAGCCCTCTCACCTTGGAGGAGCGCATGCTGAAGGCACTGGTCTTGACGTCGGCGCAGCCACGGTCCACGAGCAGCAGCACCCGCTCCTCGGTGAGCGCCAGGTACTTGCCCGTGGTCACGTGGCGTAGGCGGAATGGCTGGCCCCAGTGCAGGTGGTTACCGCTCCAGCTGGTACCGGCGACCGCGTGAAGGGAACGTGAAGCACAGACGATCATAATAGCCACAGGTGAAAATGCAGCCAAGCAATCGCATGCTGATGATGATCACCACCCCACGGTAGGTTGAGGCTGTTCATAAGTACGTAGGTATGCTGAACTTCTTTCGCGCCGTACGTGGGCCAACCATGCTAATCGGAGGTGCAGGGGAAGGACAACAAACTAAATGCACAAAAAAGGTTCTAAGTTAATGTCAAGGTTGTTTACAAGTTATTTGGATTCTCGTATAATTTAGCCAAAATTTATCAACAATTCATTCGTGGTGGAATGACAGCGAAGTTAATGCCCTACTTCCTGGTAATGACATCAGGTCTTAATGATCCATTTAACAACTAACTGTGCCATTTGTTTATTCACCGTGAGAGTCACCGAGTGCGGGATTGCCTTAGGAGTCATGTGAGCATCGTCATGGCCAAACAGCCTTAAAACGTCAACATAAATTTACAAAACGCTACTTTGCTCACAATATCAAATAACCAAAATGATTGTTTCCAAAATAAAGTATTGAGAGCCAGGAAGATTGGTCGCTGTGGGTGTAGACGGCTAAAGGTGGGTAGGCTGATAAATGGATGAATGGTTTCTGCAGATGGATGGGGCAAAGTGATAAATGTGGTGGGCAGGTGAGAGGGTAGATCGATGAGGTGATGAATTAAATAGCAACAGGATTGGTAGGTCGCCTGCTTTGGTAGGTGATCTGAATTGGCGATCACGCGGATCACTGGAGGCGGGTGTGGGTGAGTTGACTGCCGATGAGTAGCATGAACGTAGAGTAACGAAGCATCATAGTTTCTACCCTCTCCTTCCTTCCCATAGGGTTCATGGGCGTAGTTGGCATGAGATTACATTAGTGTTGATGAAACTTTGAATGGTTTTTTGAAAGTTTGGTTTAAATATATATATTTTGTGTTTTTGTTCCGGTTTAACTTAATGTAAATGCCACAGGCTTTATTGTAGTATTGGAGGATGTGGGTGCGAGTGAATGTGTAGGCGGGTGGGTAGGTGCGTGCGTGGGTGGATATGTGTGTGGGTCAGTGCATGCGTGGGTGCTTGCGCGCGTGTGTACGTAAGTACATGCGTGCATATGTGTGTGCTTGTGTGGGTTTGTGTGTGCGTGCATGCGGAAGTGTGTGAGTGGGTTAGTGGGTGGTTAAGTGGCTGGGTGAGTGTGTAAATGGGTTGGTGAGTGGATAGTGGGTGAGTCAATAGGTTTATGTTGCAATGAGGAAGGGGCAATTTTGGGGTTATCTTAAGTTATAGGTTTAACGTTAAGGCCAAGGTTATGAATATATTATTGTTACTACCTGGGTTAGAGTTAAATAATGGAATGTTAAGGATTCGGGCAAAGATTAGAAGTATGGTTGGCATTAGTGGTAAAGTTCATATTATAAGTAGGCTTAAAATTAGGATTTTGGCTATGATTACAGATAGTTATTATACCGCTGAAAGAAGATGAACTTCAGGAAATGTAAGAAGACGTAAATAAAGAAGGCTACAAAGTTGTGCCTAAGATATCTATATATGAGCAAACCAAAGAAAATGCACGACAAATTTCACAAACAACTGGAGACATCTGCCCGAGGGACACAACCGGAGGCGGACACGGACCAAGACGTGGAAATGAGGAGGCGGACGACAGCTGGTCAGAGTGCTTTTGAAAAACTGAACTTAGTTAATAGCAATATGCCTCATGAAGATTTTTATATACGTACCTTACATATCGATCAGAGACATCAACAACGGACAAATAAAATTAAGAATGAAAAGTGTGCAAAGAAGCAGAGAAAGCGAGGTGCACTCTGGGAATGTACACAGAAAGACAAAACGAGCAACACATGGAATCGGAGAATAATATGCTGGTTAAAAACATGTTATTCACATTTTCGTTGACTCTTTGACTGATAGCAGCTCTCAATCAAAAGGCTACGAATTGAAATCCTGTCCGTTGGTGGAATTAGCCCATTGCCAAGGATGACGGCTGGCGATTGAGACGAAAGACAAAGGAGGGTGAGCTTGGGGGGGACGTCTACCGTGAAGATGGGGTCATGAGGTCAGCGTGCGTGCAGGAGCTAGATCGACTGTTACATCGGGAGACCTTGAAAGATGGCGACTGCTTAGGGAAGTATTCATCCAGGAGTGGATAGTTAATGGCTGATGATGATGAGAGTTGGAGTTGCCATGGTGTGATTGTTCACTGGCACACTCTGTCTCAGTCATACAGAGACCCATGCCCTGAGGTTGACGAAAATGCAAATGAGTCGTCAGATATTTGCGATTCGCTGTGGGCAGTATTGTGAGGACTTAATTTCAGGCTGATTTATTTTTTTGCTTTTTAAACCCAAGCAATAAGCATTCCTAATCGGCCACATTCGATTTTGGATTGGGAAGCTCAGCCGTAAATTCGGCTTTGATCCGGCTCCGATGGATTCGTCCCATTCCTGCCGTGACGCAACGTTTCAGCGTCGGTCTCAGTCGGACGAAGTGCGACCTGTGTGCATGAGAAGTTTACCTGACTCGGAGGGTCTCCAGTCTCCACAAAGAGCGGGCATGGCTGCACACAGCCCCGCCTTCGTAATGCACCGAACTGCACACCCCACACACACGCGCACGCGCACACACGACATCTCCCGTTTAACCCATTTAAGCATGCACTCTGGACCAATGGTATCCATGCACGGGCTGCGGGACAGATTTCGTGCAGGGGAAACATTAGAATGTGATCAGGGAACATGAGTGCCGCATCGGATCGACAGAACACTAATACACAACGTTAAACAAATGCCTAACACTGTGAAAACTCGAGCTGGGTATGTGTGATCTCTCTGTATATCATGTGTTCTGTATTTTGGTTTCTTCCCATGGAAGGTGGAGGGCCGGCGCAGGGGATGGGGGGAGGCAGTGGTGGGGGCCATACCAAGAAAGATGAGAGCCACTGCTCTAGAAGGATAGGAAAAATGTTGTATGTCAGCATCCATTAAGGGAAGTATGGCATGTCTTACAATGCTGATTGTTAAGCACATTCCAGCACCAGGTGTGGATCAACAGGAACTACATCTTGTTGGGATCACAGTTTTGTGAGATAATCAATATTATACCACTTCCCACCATGTGAAAATGCAAAGCCAATCTGCCTTTTAGCCATGCGCTTTTTAGGAAGTGGCCATGAAGGTTACCATGGCTGCTAATAAGGTGCTGTTGCCAGGATTGTGTCCGACATCCTTTGCATCATCAGTCTTGATCTTCACAAGCGATAATGAATATGCCACCACTTTGGTGCTGTGATGTCTCATTCAGGAACCAAACCGAGGTTGCCACGATCATACATTATGTGCATGAATCATTGTAGTACGCGTACCGTTGTTCTCAACCACACAAAGATAAAGATCCCCCGTATAGCCCTAACAGACTGTTGGGGCAAGTGCTGTGAGCGAGCACCTATTAAGGTCATCGCATCGCATGAAGGGGGTGGTGTTGTCAACACCACGCTTGGGCGACCTTTATCTGCCCAGTGTTGACGTTTACTAACCACACCAGGCACTTATCCAAGCTGAGACAGGTGGAGGCCCAGAAGTGGTTCGGAATCTCACTTGCCTCCAACCTGAGCCATTGTGGGGAATCAAACTTAATCTCGCAGGGTTCTCGTGAGCACAAGTGCGCAAACCACTTGGGCCCCACCACTCCCCACCAACAACAACCGCCATTCGCCACTGAGTGGCGATGACGTCTCCACGGCACTCGTGCCAGGCTATGTGCACGTTAAGACCACTTTAAGTGTCGAACGCCCGCTGGCAGGAGGTCACGGGACGGACCCAGGTGCCACGGGTCGACTTTCCGAGATGACTGGCCGATGCACCACCTCTGCCAACCCCCCAAAACACAACACAACACTCACGCGCATGCACACACACACGGACAAACCGGGTACGCAAATAAGCCCCTCCAGGCGCGAACGCGATGGGCTCGTAAAAGTTTCAGCAGCGCTACGCCTTGACGCGCGTTTCAGGGCGCTCGCGAAAAGCGGGGCCCGCAAATGTCAACGGCGGCACGAGCGCGTGTTTTACAACTCGATACTGTACAGGGCAACGCGACACCGCCGCTTCCAGAGGCGGCGATGCTCTCACAACTCGCTGCGCGACCCCCCCGCAGCTTCACATTCGTCACCGGACGCAACGTTCATGGTTTGTCCGCGGTTATCCGTCGCTCGCTCCAGCCGGCGACCGCCGTGGCCAGGAGTTGAACGGTTAACCGCCAGGGAGGTGCTTGAGAACATTGATCGGAATCAGAGTACTTATTTGTACTGCAGGAGGAATCCGATGAGCTATGAAGCTCTATTTCACAGATGTCCAGTAGGGTCACGGGGTCAGAACGTCGCAACAACAAACACCACAAAAAGACGACTGCGGTGCAAAGTACAAGAACGTTAAACGAATCATCCAAACACATACAAATGAAACTAAACCATCCCCATCCTACAAGGCAAAGCCCACTGAGGTATTAACTTATTTGTCAGAAGCGACCTGGCCACGAATGATAGCTCAATAAAGGGGCTGATCGTTTGGACATTTATAGCAGCTAAATAATCTAAATAATCTCAACGCATGTTTCTAAATGTGGAGGGAATTTTAAAAAATCTTCCGCTGCAATATTTTTTTAAATCACCAATTGTAGACAGTAATTGACAAACAGATGACAAGCTTTTGACTTGCACATTAGCACGGTCACAAACTGTACGCGACTGCTATTAAAATAAAATAAAAACATCCCTCAACGTACAATACATTTGGATAGGTCTCACAATTATTTGCATTCCAGACGACTAAATATGGACAGGTGGTGATGTGGTTAGGATCACATGACGAACAGATTAGCTGTGACTTCTCTGGGATTTTCCTCACAGTGTTATTATCACTCTGATGTCAATTCAATGAGCAATGTGCTTATTTTTTTAATCCAGTGAGTATGTATGAGAGGCTTATTATTTAAACAAATATATATATTTTTTCTAAGTTACTACTCAGGTTTAATCATCCCTTCATGATCAACAGTTGGTTATCCTACGGAAACGCTGGCTCCGGTCACATGAATATGGTTATGCTACGGAAACGCTGGCTCTGGCCACAGGAATATGAAATTCCCAACCACTGGCTCGCGACCTCCGATGGTTGATGAGTGATGACACTGCTGATTTGAGCTGAGAGGCACCGATTCATTTGTGTTGTTATTATTATTCTTAGGCTGCAGCCCCTTTGATCATGGTTACATGACCCGCATGACAGGAATATTTTGAATGACGATTCACTCCTAACCCTTAAATGGTCTTTGTTTTTTCTTGAACCCCCCAAGACATTTGCAGCTGACGAGGGAGGGCGGCGTTTCTGACTCACAATCAGCCAAGGTTTTTGGGGGGCATTTTCAGGACGCAGTAACACCCCCACCCCCGCGTACAACATTTCGTTAAAATTAAATTGCGCTTACAACACCGTTTATCAAACAGCAGTTAAAACGGGCGCCACAGCCTGCAGTGTGGCTAATTGCTCAAACGTGGGGCCTAATAAAAAAATGTTGCAATTATGCAAAGCACAGCTTAATCATCACGAAGGCAATAAAGTCACAGCATTTGTAAGTGCAATATTTAAGACGTGCAAAAGTGTCTTCATGCACACATTGGTTGGCACTCACCTGTTGGTAACTGCAAGTTATGTGCGGAAATGCCACATTTCTATGGTAGGGGCAAGTCTCGCCGTTGGAGAACCACTTCAGAAAAATATGTATTCATTATACTGACCTTGGAATAACAATGATGGTCTGTGTCGACCCATGACCAAGACTTTAACTCACAAACTTCGAATTTCAGCAAATTTGGTTGCATACAAGCACACTGAGGACCAGTTTCTACAGCCAGTGGTTCCATGAGCAGGGTCAGGCGTGCTTCAACCGATGGCAGTGAAACTCCAGATGTTCATAGCGAAGGAGCTTCACTCCTAAATATGGATCTTAGTTCGACGTGGAACTATATAATACATAAGACAATGATTTATGGTTATGAACTATATACTACCATCTGTCAATCGTAAGAATCATTTACTTATTTAGCTATGAGAGCCACACTGAGTCGCAGGACACATTTTCAGCAGGGTCCTGCCTTGGGTTTTTATTTTTACGATGTTTTTAGCCAATTCATGATTTGTTTCTACAAGTGGGAGGAAACCAGAGCACCCGGAGAAACCTCACACGTGCAATGGAGCAACACTCTATTCCCGTACAGATGGAAACACATGGTGATTTGTTTACTTACTGTCCTGCCTTCATATGACGAGCCAGGCTATGACACCTCGATGTCCATTGGGAAGGCAGTTTCACAGCATTTGTGCTATCCACCGACCCTCACTGCCTCCAGTGCTAAATTACAGGTGTGCAAAGCCACAACCGCCCAGCTTACTTACATAGTTCTTACTGCAAAATGACATCAAACACAACAGTGTGACAGTAACTGACAATCCCATACACAAAACATTAATGATACAAAATCCTCCAGCGTTACCAGATGAAACCTAAAGGGACAGCCACTTAATAAAAACATTTCCATAGCTTTCAATTAATACCTGCTAAACAAGAGCAAAGTGTTTACAAGCTTTTTCAGTCCAAAAAAAAATTAAAAGGGGATTATAAATGTAATGCAGCGACAGAAACCGTGGCGCCAGCCTCCCGTGCCAGCCCCACCCCGCTTGGCCGGCCTGCGTTCGTGACGAGTGCACAGCGCCATCTATAAACAGCGGCAAAGGCCAAGTGGGGTCTTCTGCTGGCCAGACCCATGCCTCGCTGGTGGGTGAGCAATGGGAGTTGCGTGTGTGGTCGCAATGCCAGCTGCTGGCGCGGCTCTGAGGCACAACTGCTGGGGTCGTCCCTGAGCCTGTCTCCCACACCCATCCTCGCACAGATTGCCGCCCGTGCACTCCCGAGTGACCCGCTCATCGGTTTCCCATCTCCCTTCCCCTTCCATTTCACAGTCTCCCATCCAGCAACTCCAATTCATCCACCTATGCTATCCCTACCTCCAAAGATCACGGTTGGCTGTGTACGATGTGAAAGAAGTTCAACATACGTACATACTACCTCTCACTCATCTTCCTCCTCATCAACCACCCGTCCCACTCCTTATCGCCCGCTCATCTTCTCCAAATCTCTCACCCATTGCCTTCTGCTCGTTCTCATCGCCCAGCCATTCCACCTCTGCCATAAATGCCTCAGTGCACCACCCTCTCCCACCCCCCCAGAGAATGACATTCCTGGCATGTGACAAACTGGCATCTTTACAAGCAGCTGTCATTCAGCTAGCTCACCTCCAGAGCAAAGAAGGGCATGTGACTCATGACAGCAGAGGGGGATAACCACCAGTTGCCAGGTGTGAGTGGTGCACACTCTGACTCACTCATGTGTGCCTCGTGTTGTGGCACGTGGCAAGCAGTGAATGCACACAACGGGCAGTGGTTAGGTGGCCAAGAGGTCCTCTTGGGTGGTCCTCAAGAGGTCCTCGCAGATCGTCCAGGCAGCGCTACATGTGTCATGGCTACCAAGCTTGTCAAA